GTTTAGCACCCGCCGCATATGCTGACTCATTGAATCGAGTTGACATCAAGTGCAGCAGATCTTGACGCTTTTCTTCTGAGATGATGGCCGGTGGTGCTCCCGAGTCTAGGATACTCGTCACGCTCATCGGATGCTGTGGAATCACCGAGCAAAAGTTGTTGTTGCTATATGCAGGCTCGTTCATGTAGAACTGATTCTGAACAAGTGGTACCATTCCATAGCCCAACGGCGCGAGTGGCTCGCTAAATAGCCAGGCTGCAAAGTCGTCTGCCATGGCGAATGGTGATCGGTTATAGGTTTCCCCGCCAAAGATCGGGTATGACATGGAGTCGAGGTCAATAATATTATCAGGCTGATCCAGCACCGCCGGAAAATCGGCGTATTGATCCACTGGTATCCCATTGCCATCCACTCCCGTGCTGAGGGGGTATGCTGCCACCGGAGGTTTAGGCTCCTCCGAGCCAACAAAGTATTCCGGCGCGGTGATGGCAGGCGAGGAAGACGGGGAGGTTTTGGTGTCATTTTCGGTGAAATGGTCTCGTTTCTGGAGCTGGGAACCGCTGGTGGTGTGACGTTCACGATGGCGAGTACACAGGTCGTGTCGCACGAAGGATCGGTAACAGTTGGGAAAGTCGCAGCGATAGATTTGTTTCGGAGTATGGTTCAGCGCATGTCGACTCAGATGTTCGGCGCGGGAATAGCTCTTCCCGCAGCCTTCAAAGGTGCATTCAAATTTGCGATCGGACAGAACTTTGCGACTGCGTCGCCGTCTCTTCGAGGGTTGACCGTCGATCTCCATTTTTCATGCCATGGCACGGATGATCACCGGTTGAATCGGGGAATAATGTATGAACACAGAATGAGCGAAGGGAGGATCCAATAGAGAGTAGAAATAAGTCGAGGAATGCAACGCAAATGGGATTCAAGAGGGTTGTCCGGGGAGAAGTGCGGAGATCTCGGTGGGGTTGTAGCGGAGATGACTGTATTGGCGAGGTCTGTCCGCGTAGTATATCCTTGAGGTATAGGCAAGGAAGACATATATATATTTCTAGGATTTTTTTCAGAAAACATTATACATGTATCTCTATTCACTCTATGATAGTGATTAGAGTAATCTCTTTATATGTATATCTTAAGTTAGCGTGCATGTAAGTATGTTCTACTGTCCTACAACATCCATGGATAACAAACAGTATATCTACGCCCAACCACATAACAAGTAGATAGAATATATGCCAATGGAACATTGATGTTCAATAGATTCATTACTCGTAATCAAATGACCACGCACAGAAAGTGCGCCAAGGACGCATCTCAATGTAGAAATCGTGACTATTGAATACCTAGATGCAGGTCCAGCTCATACAATACCTGAAGGGCAGCAATGTCAAAGCCAGAGAGGTTCTGGTCAGTGCCGGCTTACCAGCAGGTCATTAATCATCACACCGAGTTCATGCCATCCCATCGTGTATCGTACCACATGGCACGTCAATAGCAGAGAACTGACGTTTGATTTTGTGCAAATGCTTCCGTGGGTTTCTTTTGTTTAGTGCTGATCAGCACCGAAGACGAATTTGCAATAAGATGCTCATCCGCTGAATCGGAACCGGGTGGCCTCCAGACGGCCAAGGCCATCTCGTGGGGCTACATTGCGGCGGCGATACGAGTTGGTAAAGTCTGAACGGGGTTAGATAAAGCAATAAAGAATAAGAGGAAGGGAGACTAACCTTGGAGGAGGACACGGATTTTACGGGTGTCTCCTGACTGTACTTTGTCGGAGACATTATTCAGCAGTCGCTCGGCTTCGCCGTGCTTCATCGTGCCAGCTGGCAGCATCTGCAGTGTGGTCTGCAGCCATGACCCAGTCTCCTGGGGGAGTAGCTCGAACATTGTCATCAGTACTCCCGACGCATCAGCAAAGCAATCACCTGGGAAAGTGAACATCATGCCCGTAAGCACACGCTGCGCCAAAGGTTGGCCTTGCGAGATAATCAACGCCTTTACGGCCTCGCGAACCTCAGGCGGGGTAACGTAAGGCTGGCCTTCCGGGCTAGTGAACTGGGAGACCATAGGCTTATCAAATGCAAAGCTAAACAGATCCCGGTAATAATGAAGTGTGGCGATGAGAGGGTCGAGTTGCTCAAGAGTGAGAGCACTGAGTGCGGCGGAGAAGATGGGAACGGCAAGGGACGAGGTGATATACTTCTTGGGATAGTATCTAACGGCGTTCGAGGAGAGGCGGAAGAAGTCTTCAATCACATCTGGCAGATTTTGCGGGGGGAGGTCGTTCAAGATGCGCAGGAAAGCAATGGCCTGCTGCTCATAGAACTGGAAAACAGCATCACTGGTGGCCTGATCGACGTACTCAGCACCATCAGAGAACTCACGCACAACTGCATCCGTAGCCCAAAGGAAGCAGCCCTCGCGCGAGGCCTGGAATCCGTTCGCGATACTCTGGGCCAGAGTCGGCAAAAGTGGGATCATTCCAGTGCGATACGAGATGATCATGTATCGCCAGCATCGGCACACTCGCTCGAGGATAGGCGTAGAAGACGTAAAGTTCATGACGATCGTGGTCATGATGGGTAGAATCTCGCTACAGTATTTAACGGCAGGGTTTTCTTCTCCCGGTGCAAGAATCGGAGTCACCACTTGCACAAAAATAGTGATCAGCTGTAGATGATCGGCCACGGCTCGCTGGCCTTCTTCATTCTGTGCATTATTGGCAAGGTTCATAATTCGGGCCATGATCGGGTCGCAGAACATTTTGTATGAATCGTAGATCTTCTCATGGGGCTGCACCGAAACCACTGCGGCAACACCTTCAGTAACTTCCTCCTGGCTAGTGGGCTTCAGCTTGTCAAGAACCGACTCGAAGAAAGCATGCAGCTGCGTGATATGGCCACCAAGCAACTTCTGACAGTCTGTTCCCAAAAACTTGAAGGCAAGCGCAGAGGCCTGCACAACTTCTTGGGAGGAATGGTGGAAACCGGAAATCACGTAATTAAGTTGGGCCTCCAATGTATCGGGATGGTTAGCTGTCCATTCTGTGTAGCGTGCCAGTGCCATGATCGCCTGGAACCGCACTTTCTCCTGGTCGGGAATCTGAACAATCAGAGGAATCAGTTGTCCAAGAATGGTGCTTTCTAAGGGATCAACCATGCGGCCCATTGCGCGGAGACCAAACAAAGGTGCCTCCAGTTCCTGCCAATGAGGAACATGCTCGTTGCTTGACTGCGATGCATACTTGGCAACCCACTGCTGGATCAACTGGTAGATTTTAGCCAGACAATCGTTCACACCCACAACGGCACAGCAGTCCTTGAGAACATCGCCCATTGCATGGCGGAATTGACGGAATTTTTCCTCCTGCTCGCGGTCTCCAGAAAACAAATCTTCCGTCTCGCCGTCTTCGGGACTGGGAAACTCGAGGTGCTTCACCATGATGTCGACCAGCTGTGCAAAGATAGGCTGGAAGGCGACACGGGCGTCGTTGTATCGGTCCAGAGTAATATATTGCTTCAGTTCGTACCAGAAAATGAAGGTGAGAGACACTGCATCGCGCTCCCAGTCCCGCGCGCAACATTCGAGAAGCGCCTCAACAAGTCCTTGGAAATCACCCGGAAGACGTGCAACGAGGACAACCCATGCTTCACCTGCCTCCGCAAACATTCGTGTGATACCCTTGAAAGCCTCCAAATCTTCTGCCTCGGCTGTTTCGGCAATTTTTGGGCGAAGTGCCATCAATCGGGGATAAAGGGCTTGAATGACGGACAGTGACTCGTCCACGTCCTTTGTATCACGGTACAGCGTGCAAACACAGTCGACACCGGCGTCAAAAGATATGTCGTTATCCAACGCTTTGAAGATGACGTCCATGAGAGGCGACTCGACGACCTTGGCGGCGGGGATTTCACGTAGCCAGGAAGTAATGCAGTCGAGAAGACGGGGGTTGGTCGCGGCAGCAGCTGTTTGTGGTCAGTTGTGAATCCTAATTCGTTATGAGAATGGAACGTGATCATTTGATACGTACGCGATGACTGGGCGTATTGGATCATCAGCTGCATGACCTGCTCTGCATTGTCTTCTAGCAGCTCCTTCGTTCTCATGAATAGTTCATCTTCCTTTTGTAAATGTCAGCTTAAACCTTTGTAAACACCTATACAGAAACATACACTGAGATTGATTTTGCGACCCTCAGTGACTTCCTCGGGCAAGATCTTCAGGAACTCCAACACACAATCCCCTGCGCTGCTTCCTAGAGCTGCTCCGACAGTCGCCAGTACATCCTTCCATGTGACCATCTGAATCGCTAAACTGGCCAAGCACACACATAGCTGGGTCTGAATAGGGCGCGGGCCCGGCGCAAATGCAACCAATAGGTTTAGAACCGAGTCTCGCAGGGCCAATACTGAATCCGGAGGGAGTTGGTCGAGATCAAATATAATCTGCGCAATTAGAAACGGCGAGAATCATTAGGTAGGAATACCCTTACTTTTCCTTTCAGTGTAGTCGCGGCGAATAGCTTGGCTTCGACTGGCACATCGGGGGACTGTAATAGAGCGTGAGTCGTTGTCCAGGCCTCAATCTATAGATGCATTGAAGGTCAGTAAACGATATCAGTCAATTATGAGCCAGTACATACCGATTTCTGGAACTTCTCAAGGAATTCATGGGCCTGAGTCTTCTCGGTCCTAGAAACATTTCCTTGCATTGTCGCGACGGCCGCCAGGACCGGGGCGAATGCCTGCCCGGCTTCCTTGCTGGCCATGTTGAATTAAATGGATTAATCAAGGCTCAGCAATGTATCAAAAATGTACTAGCATCTGACGAGACGAACAAGTTCGAAGAGGGGGAGCAAGTTGAAGGTGGGATGGGGTGGCCGTGCCCCGATAACCGTATTACCGTAATCAAATCACGGGACGACTGCCAGGCCCGCCAGAGCTTTCTTCGCCTCGTCTCCCGTGTAACAGCTATCACTTTCGCCATAACCGCACAAAATGGTCGGCCGCAAGACATTGTTAGCTCCGATTCACTTCATTTTCAGTCTCCTGCAGAAGCGGAGCACTGTTTCAGTTTGGCTGTATGAACAGCTCGCCTTCAGGATAGAGGGGAAGATCCGTGTATGTGTTTCTTTACCAGATCCCGTTCTGGTCGTCACATTGTCACTTGAGCTAACATGTGCTAGGGATTCGATGAGTTCATGAACTTGGTCATTGACGATGCTGTCGAAGTGCGTCTGGCTACCAAGACAGAGGAAGAGAAGCGCCGGCCACTAGGTACGAGGAAATTGAATTAGAGTCCTTGAGACCATTGCTAACTAACTAATGCGCAACAGGCCAGATCCTTCTCAAGGGAGACAGTGTCTCTTTGATCCAGGCAGTTTGAATTTTCGCTATTCCTTTTCTGTTTCGATTTGCGTTACACCCTGCGGTCCAAATATTCACTATCACCAACCACGATCGCATCAACCAACCAGTCATGCTCTACCACGGGGATATCCTCGGATAGCAACTGGTCTTGGAGAGAAAGGGCAACTACCATGGAGTTCAGTCGGGGATAAACGGATTGTTTCTGGGACTACTGGGACTGCTTACCAAGGAATGGCATCTTGCGGGTCGATGTTGAATATCGCGTTAGAAAATGATCATAATACCCTTTGCCATGACCAAGTCGTCGGAATCCATGGTCAAAGGCCATGCCCGGCATGACAATCAGATCTAATCCCTGTGTCAATCCATTTGGTCGACCTTCGATCTGCGTAGATAGTAGGGATGGTATTCCCCAGTTGTCTGGCTGTAATGACTCGAACTCGGACATGGATCCGAGAGCGAACATGTCCATAACGGATGTTTTGTCCTGGGTATGAATATACGGGATGAAAACATTCTTCCCACGCTGTAGAGCATCCTTTACGATTCCAGTTGTCGAGAGTTCCCCGCTTGGCATAGATAGGTATATGGCGATGTTTTTGGCATTTTGGTATTCGGGCAGTGTCAAGAACTTGGTTGTTGCCGCGCTGGCTGGGACGAATCAGTACGGACAACCCAAAGACCTTAATTCAATCTAACATTGTTGACTTATTGAGGTTGCAGATAGATTTTGCAGAGTTGAGCGCATCCTCTTTCGGAGGTCGCGTTTCGCAGCCTGGAACGCCATTTATAGGATAGTAGATGTAACGTAAATACAAGTAGAGTCATTCGCGGGGAATTCCACGGGTTATATATTACTAGTACTAGTACTGTTCGAAAAGAGCAAAAAAAAAAAAACAGCAAAAAAGAAAGGTCGTGCCCGGGTTCGAACCGGGGTTTGTGGTAGTTCTAATGATCGTATCATCTCAAAAACCACAGTGATAACCACTACACTACACAACCTTCGATGTATAACCTATTCATTTAGAGAAATAAGTCTAACACTTTGGTCCCCATTCCAGGGCCAAGTATGTTGTTGATCTCCAATAAAGGGCGCCCTTCAAATACTCCCTTTCTGTCGATTTTACCTTTGTCAACTAAGATGTTTTTGGTTTGGAGTCTTTTAGTTATAGCCACTTTGGCGAACGCGAATGACTTGTTTGGAACATGGACTACCAAATCTCGTGATGTTTTTACTGGTCCAGTATGTGAAACTACCATCTATCTACATATGTAGCGGACTTGAAACTAACGCACATAGGGTTTTTACGATCCGCTCAACGACAGACTGCTCGAGCCTAATCTAACAGGCATTTCGTACTCATTTGATGATGATGGAAATTATGAATCCGCATACTATCGCGCAATCTCAAACCGTCAGTTCTACACATAGATATATATATATATATATATATATACATATATCGACAACGTACTGATATCGAACAGCGACCGACCCATCATGCCCGGGAGGGATTCTACAGTGGCAACATGGATCTTATACTGTGTTCGGAAACGGAACTCTAGTATTGACTCCAATTGCTGTCGATGGTCGCCAGCTACTGTCCGAGCCCTGTCGGAAGCAGTCAGGTCAATATACACGATACAACACCACCGAGCAGTTCAATGTACATCCCTTTCATTTTCTCTCCGCCGGTTCATTCTGACAACAGACAGGAATTCTCCGTGTATATCGACAAGTTTAATCAACTTAAACGCCTCGACTTGACCAAGGCCGATGGCTCAATCCTCCATCCCATGTTCCTCGCCTACCAGCCACCAAAGATGCTCCCCACCACAACATTGAACCCCACGCCAGGGCATAAGCGAAAGCGAGAACTATCGTCAGAATCAGGATTCCAGCTGATCGCCAGAGAACAGCTGATCAATCCAGACCGGTGGTGGTGGTTGGGTGTTCTAATGACATCTTTTGGAGGAGTAGCTTTCTTCTGCTCATGAACCTTTCAGGCTGGCGTTGAAGAGGAGTTTGGAATTCGTTATTTCTGTGAATTATAAATGAGATTCGAAATGCCCTTGATCAAGGCTATTGTGACACTAATATACAATCTGGTAAATGTAAGCTCAAGAGAGCGCCTTCTTCACCTCGGTAGCAACTTCTTTCCGGTCAACTGGCTTGCCATCCAGAGGGCCTCCTGCAGCAAAGAGAGACTTGAGAACGGTTCCTGCGTTGGGCTTCTCATTGGCATTGATCATAGCAGCGATCTCGTTGACGACCACTTCCTTGATCTCGGCGATGGGGAGGGTCTTGACCTGACTAGCATATTCCTCCAATACCACAACCTGTGCATCCTCTTTCTCCTTCAGATCTGGGCGTTCGGCGGCATCAAACTCCTTTGCTGCATCTTTGGACGCATTCATGCGTTTCCGGATTAGCGACAAGAGCTGAATGTCTGTCTGAATCGGCGAGGCGGTTTTGGCGGCGTTGTTGGTCTCGGAGATCAGAGCGCGAAGTACATTCAGTCTGACCATAAGCTTGCTGGTCCTCTAAAATATAAGTGGAATGTGTCTCTACCTTGTGGTGTCTTTGGCTCTCATGGCAGTTTTCAGATCAGTCCGCAAAGTAGCCATCAAGGGTGGCAGGACCGGACCGGTAGAATTCCACCGCACCAGACGAGTGTGTAGGCGCGAAGAAAAACGAATTGATTGAAACATTTTGATTGACAATTTAGACAATAAGAAACAAGCTCAATTGAGGGATCAATGGGAATGGGAGACAATCAACAATCAATACTGTGAAGGCGGAAGATCCCAATTGGTCTGTGCGCTCCCAGGTGTTGACTCTCGCTTTTCGCAAAAGACCTTGAATAATCCAATCTCCTCCCAAAACCTTCCCTCATCGTCATTCCCCCACATATCTCCTAGTTTCTTTTTCTCGTCCGACCTACACTGCAGCTTCTTTGTGAAATCCTAGCGGGGGATCGTCCCTTTCTCCCTCCTTAAAACCACCACCATGTCGTACCCGACTCTTCCAACAAATCTCCCTCCGGCGACGCCGCAGAAACCTCTGCCTGGAGCTTACTTTCAGACTCCGGCGCCAGTTACAGCACGGCCTCTGTCCGCCAAGTCGCCGTTGCATACGGAACCCCAGACCCCTATGCCAAAGCTCCCTCCAGCAGCCTCGAAGACCAAAAATCAAACAGTGAGCACCGAGGAACGCGGGGCGCGAACGATCAACAGTAGTCTGCAAAGCGAATCGCGCTATCCAGACCTTGACAGCTATTTATCTCGTAAGATTCCCCAACTAAAACTGTCCGAACAAGACTGACCAAAAACAGAGGGCTCCTCGTCTGAGTACAACATCCCCATATCTCAATCATGGGCACCATTCCAAAAAGTCAAAATGTACGACATCCCCGACCAGATTTTTGATCAATACAACCGCGCACAAGTCTCGACCAGCATGGGTCTGTTTGCCGAATTAAACCACGCGTGGGTCGCGATTGACAATGCATTGTACATTTGGGATTTCACACACCCCAACCCGCAATTGGTGGGATTTGAGGAGCAGCCCAACAGCATCAATGCGGTCAAGCTGACCAAACCGCGCCCGGGAGTTTTCTTGCCCGCGATCACCCATTTGCTGGTCATTGCGACGACCGCGGACATCATTCTGCTAGGGATGGGCTATGAGAACACGCCCAGCGGAGGTCAACAGGTTTCTCTATATCACACAGGGATGTCGGTAGCAGTTCGCGGCTTGGATATCAATGTTTTTGCGGCATCAGCATCCACTGGGCGCATTTTCTTCGGAGGATCGTCTGACACCGACGTGCACGAGGTCACTTACCAACAGGAGGAAAGATGGTTCCAGGGCCGCTGTGGCAGAGTCAACCATACCAGCTCACGTCTATCGGCTTTCAGGCCTTCGATGAGCCTGACAAACCTCGCACAAAGCACTACTGAGCATGTAGTGCAGATGGCACTTGATGATAGCCGAAACTTGCTCTACACACTCTCTTCTGCGTCTACAATCCGCGTATTCCACATGGGGCCTGAGGGCAGTCTGACACTCGCAATCACCAAACGCGCTCTGGATATCTACTCTAACATCGGGCACATCATAACCTCAAACGAGACCCTCAACCCCAGAGTCAAGATTGTGTCGATCAGTCCGGTGCCAGCCACAGAAGCATCACGGTACCATCTAGTTGCAACAACGGGGACAGGCTATCGCATCTATCTCAGCGCCACTGGTTCAAACAGTTGGGCGCCTGCGTCGACCAACACCAGCCCTCCTACAAGCATGCAGGCACTGCATGTCAAAACACCTCCTGTCGATATCTCCCCCGGCGTGAGCGGGGTGGCATCTTCGAACTCACTCGTTTCACCACTTGGCACGATTTTACCTTCTGCTGGTCAGATTACCACACTTTCACCCACTCGTCTTGCTGAGCGATATTCTCCGGGCTATTTCTTCTGTTTTACTACCAAGGATCCACAGCAGAAGATTGACACCCTTTTCATCTCAACCCCCGACTCTGGCCGGGTCGCTCAGTACCAAGAAAGTCCGGTCAATGGTAAAGCCGCTGAATCGGCTATCGTTCTGGACTTAGGAGGCAAGGCAGAGGATATTGGTCTTATTTCAGCGCCTTCGCCGGTGACCAACGAGCTGGCTGTTCAGTTTGACCACCCGGCTGCTGAGATCGCGATCTTGACTAATGGTGGAGTTCATATCATTCGTCGGCGTCGTCTTGTGGATATCTTTGCTGCTTTGCTCCGCAGCGGCGGCAATCCTCACGAGGGACTGTCCGGCGAGATCCAAAATTTCCTTAGAACATATGGACGGAGCGAGATGCTGGCGACTGCTCTTGCGGTGGCTTGTGGCCAGGGTATGGAGATTTCCCCCGAACAAAGACTGACCCGAATTACCGACCCGGACGTACTGGCAGCAGCACGCCAGGCCTTCATCACTCAAGGTGGTCGAGCCCATCTGAATGAAAATGCTATTGCAGATGGCTCTACATCTGCTCTTGACGCAGTGCAGCCCTCTCCTCGACACACAGGTATTGCACTATACATCGCTCGTCTGTTGCGATCTATCTGGAAGGAGAAGATTGCCAAAGTGGGCAAGGGACCCAATGGTGCGCAATCCGTTTCTGCGTCCGTCAGTTCCAGTAAGCTGCAGACTGTCCAGCATGATCTTTCCTCCCTGGCAGAGTTTTTCAAGGTGAACAAGACCTTTATCGATGGGCTCAACGGTCCCGACGCTCTTGCCCGGGTAAACAGCAAGCAAGAAGAAGTGGCGCTGCAAGCCGAGCACCGCGCATTACACTCACTCGTTCAGTTGGTGTCACACACGATCGAAGGTATCTCGTTTATCCTTGTTCTATTTGATGAGCGGGTTGACGAGATTGTGGCGACTCTACCAGCTGAATCGAAAGCAAAATTCCTGAGCCTTACTTTCGAGGAACTCTTTAGCTCCAGCAAGGGACATGACATTGCCAAGGAACTCGTGAAGGGTATTGTTAACCGCAACATTGCCAAGGGCTCCAACGTCGAGACCGTGGCTGATGCACTCCGACGACGATGTGGCAGTTTCTGCAGTACGGAGGATGTGGTGATTTTCAAGGCACAAGAAATGCTGAAGCGTGCCACTGAGGCCGGTGCTAACACGGAATTGGGTCGCAACTTGCTCAACGAGAGTCTGCATCTCTTCCAGCAGGTGGCAGAATGCCTACCTATGGATTATCTGGTCTCAGCTGTGGACAATTTCATTGTCAACCAGTTCTTTGCAGGTATGTTGGATGATTCTCGGTGTCTTTCGTATCTCATACTGATTGATTTTCCCCCCACTTCTTTTAGGTGCTATTCAGCTTGCCCTCAACGTTGCTGCTCGATCCGACAAATCAAACCTTGCCTATTCCTGGATCATGGATCAACGTCCCGAACAGGTGCTTATCCCCCTTATTCTCTTTGGATCCCAACGCCAGCTCTCGCTCACAACTACCCAGGACCCCCGCAAGGAATACTTTTATTTCCGCAAGCAGTGCTACGATCTTATCTTCAAAGTCGTGCTCGCAGTTGACAAATTGGCTGCATCCGATCCCGGTCTCATTGATGGCCAGCTGACTACGATTGCCAAACGCCAGAACGAGGCCTATGGCGTGATCTCCGATTCCACCGATGAGGTGTTCCTGACGAGTTTGTACGACTGGTACCTCGAGCAGGGCTGGAACGATCGGTTGCTGCAGACCCAATCGCCATTTGTGGTCACCTACCTCCAGCGCAAGTCCAATGATGACCTGGGACATGCTGATCTGCTCTGGCGGTTCTATGCCCAGTCTCAACGATTCTTCGAGACTGCACAGGTTCAATTCCATCTGGCCAATAGTGCTTTCGTGTTGCCACTGAGTCGTCGTATTGAGTACCTTGGTCAAGCTCGCGCCAATGCTTCGATTTTCACACCGGACGTCGGGCGTCAGTCAAGGCAGCGATTGCTGCAAGAGATTTCGAATCTCATTGACGTGGCCAATATTCAGGATGACCTACTACAAAGACTCAAGGATGATGAGAGGATTCTTCCCGAGCGGAAACCCGAGATACTGCGTGAGGTCGATGGACCAGTGATGGATATTAGTACAGTAAGTTACCACGTCGCATTCTGAATTTCCGCCTGCGAATCAGAATAAAAATTACGATACTAACATGTCCCCAGCTGTTCAATAAATACGCCGATTCCGCCAGTTACCATGACATTTGTCTCCAAATTTTCTACCAAGCCGACCATCGCAATGCGGCCGACGTCAAGTCAACCTGGCAACACCTGATTCAGGGGGTCCATGACGCCACCGTTCAACATGGCTCACCGCAACCTTACGAAGCGGTGATCGACAAAATCCGCAGCCTTGGGAGTCGCTTACGGATGTCTGAGACCATTTTCCCCATCCGCGAGCTTGTCCCTATGGTGGAGCGGTATGCCCTGGAGTTCCAGCGCAATGTTGGCCCGGCTACCTGGGTGGTGGATCTGTTCATCGATCTTGGCGTTGCGCACGAATCCCTGTACGCGGTGTTGGAGACGATGTATTACACTGACGAGGCGCCCTTCCACGGATCAAACCGGCGGTTTATTGCACACGACCTGCTCTACCTTCTGAGTGGATGGTTCCATGAGACCGTGCGCCTGGGCGGCATGGTTTTCGGCTCGGATATCGTTGCCGAGCGTGTCTCTGAGATGCTGCTGATCCTGCAACAGAGCGGTGTCATTAGTGGGGAACAGTTAGAGATTGCTCATGACTTGCGGTCACGGATCGATGACATTCTACGGTAATGTGGCGTTTACTGAGGAGACGATGTGGGGGACGGTCATGTAGCATTGCAGATCTGCATGGCGGTGACTCCTGACATTTACTTTTAACATTTGATCTTGGTTTTTTTTTTTTAAAGAGATCGTGGGTGCTTTGGGACTTTGTAACTCTATGGCGTGGGGGTAATGAAAAACGAATTCACAGCCAACAGGCACATTGCAATGAAAATATTCCAAATGAAAAAGAAAAACAAATTAAATTAAAATCTATAAAAAAATCAAATCCGAAACACCAACATCCCATTCTATCACATTATGCCAGTTCTATTCGAATTCCTCCTCATCCTCATACACAGGAATGGGCTTTTCACCCAAAGCGATCAAGCGGAAGATATGACGAGCCTTAGCACCGTAATCATCATCCAAGTAATCAACAATGGCAGAGTCTAGATAATTATGTTAGCAATGGTCTACTCAAAATTCTAAATCTGAAAGAAAGAGACGAAAAGAAAAAGAAAGCACAAAAAACTCACGAATAGTCGAGCGATTATCAAACATCACAATTGTCCTAGGTTGCCAGCGCACGCGAACCTGGAAATCATGACCGGTAACAAGATGATTCATAAGGAAATCCAACACCCATTTGGTCTCGGAATCCTTGAGGCCATGAATCCTCGTAATAAACTCCCCATTCAAAAACATACACTTCTCACCGGTAACGGGATGCACCCGGATAAGCGGATGCACAGTGTCAACGGGATCCTTCCTGACCAAGCCACCCGTCAAGCGAGCATGACCAATCATTTTAGCAGAAGAATGGGTAACTTTTAACCCATCGAGGAAGGCCGTGACAGCCGGGGAGAGCCGCTTATAGGCCAAATCGGTAGCAGCGAAGACGGTATCACCGCCAACTTCGGGACCCTGCAGGAGACCAAGCATGACATAACCGGGAGGCTGGATTTCATAGCTGACATCCTGGTGCCAGAGGGTTGTTGTTGTACGCTGTTGTAGGAAACGGGTGATTTCATCTCTGTTTCCGTCACGGTGGATGATGTGGAAAGCGGGGTGGTCTGTCATTGAGCCCGAGACGGGTTGGTAGTTTGGTTTCCCGAAGTGGCGCATGAAGGATTCCTGGGCGTCTGGGCCAGCATCGATAAGGTCCTGATCTGGGAAGGCAACGACCTTTCGTTCTGTAATAAGGAGGGCGAGTTCATCTCTACCTGCGGCGGAAAGGGAGGAGAGCTGAACGTTCTCGACAATGGTTCCTAAGCTTGGCTGGATGTGGGAGATTTTTGCGGTTGGGGGCAACAGGTTTGGTTTGGATTTGTTGCGGACGCGCAGGGCTGGATCTTCATATTCGAAGGGTTGTAGGGGTTCGAACCAGATTGGATCCCAGGTAGGAAGATATTGGGGGTATTTTGTTGAGATCTTGGATTGTTTATCTACATCGACGTAGGGGATGTTGATGTCATAACTGATGGGTTCTTCTTTTTTTGGCACTTTGGAACGAACGGGGGCCGAGGACGGCATTGTATAGATGTATAGAGTGGAGTAACCTAATAGCCTTGGAAGAAATGAAAAGTTATAGATGGATAAGATGGATAAAGAGAAAGAAGGGATTGTCTTTTATATATAGTTCTGTATATACTCTATACAATGCATATGATAAAACTAAAACACTAGTCAATTCCCTTCATCTCCGAGTGGAAGATACGAACAGCGGTCAGAGAGATAATAATGAAAAAAGAAGTAAAAAAAAGGAAGAAAAAAATTCACTAAAAAGCAGTTAAATTCCCCTAAAAATCTCATATCCACCTACCCACTTTCTCACTGCAAATCCCCCCTTCCACTGCCGTTCTATACCCACCTTTTTTCCCCCTCTCTTTTTCTATAGCTTCTATAATGCTTTTTCTTTTTTTACACCGCTATAATGTGAATACTTTCAAGATAAGGCATAATGCAGGCCAAATGGCAATTGCATTATCTGCCATGATCTATGCATGCGGAGATTATGATTCGGCCACATGGGGTTCCGTTCCTCGGCGTAAGTAGAACTATTTAGGAAGCTCTACGGAGAAAGGGGAAATTAAGAAAAGGGATTTAGGGGGGGAAAAAAAGGGAAGAGAAAGAAGAGAAAATCGAAAAAACCAGGAAGAACACCCTGTCCTGAGCTAATTAGGGCCTAACGATCTTGCGGTCTACTTTCCGATGTATATGCTCTCTCTTTGACCTATCGAAGGCCCACTGGCAAGTTCCCTGTATGACAATGCATGTCTACCTTAGCATGATGTAATTTCAGGCTTATTTGACCCTTTGTTGTTATATACTTATGTGGATATATATATAGTATATATATATATATATATATATAGAAAATGCACCAACTTTTATCTCCCCGAAGTCAGGCCACCTTAAAATTAAGAAGCGGTGAGATGTAGATGTATCAATTACTTACTCTTAATATACTTAGTATATTTAATATATAAGGAATCTTTATAGAAAGTAACCTTTTACCCTAAATATTAAGATCAAGACACTAACAAACAAAAAAAAAGCAATTATCAAACTATGAATATTTTAGTTCCTACTCTTAAATCTTCCAGATTGTTCCTTTTTGGTCACCTGATATTTACTTATCCCCTTAAACATCATCTAACTCCCTCTCTACTTACATTCCTCCTCCTTATCCCCCCTGGAGACTTGCATATGATCCAGCATATATCGAAAAATGTCTATCTGCACTCGTAAACGGGACTTGTCCTATCTCCTATTTTTCATCACCCACGTCCCGATCATTCTCCGTATGATTCTCTATCTTGATATATTTATACATATCTTCATATAACCTCACATATGCATATATGCAACTAACATCAATATAGTAATCGACACCGTTCCACTCCTACCAGCTTTCTTCCAAACAAATCTCTCCTACCAGCTGCGCGAGTTCTACATAACCACCTACCGCGACAAATTCTTCGAAGATCCGCCAACATGGTTCACCGTCTTCATCTGGATGGAGCTGCTGTACCACCTCCCAATCTCAATCTGGGCCGTTCGAGGGTTGATTAAAGGTATTTTGCTGTTCCCCCTATTATTATCCAAAGCTTGTGCTCGTACATCGTGTGCATTGTGCATGTTACTATGTATATCCTTGTCCATATCCTTATCCGATCCAGTCCAGCTCACCCTCGACCCCCTACATCACATCTATGGATCTTATATCCATTACATATCTATATCGAATGCAATATTTGGCAATCTGACTACACACCCTTATTCTCAAGAAAAGAGAGAATGAGATCAGAAAAAAAAAAAAAAAAAAAAAGAAAACGCAATTAGCACCTAACTAACGCAATTTTCAATTCATCTAGATCACCCCCTTGTCCCCGTGCACCTCCTTGTTTTCGGGATCCAGGCCTTCATCACCACACTGACATCTCTGGTGGTTGTGTGGAGTTGGACCGACCGCTCAGTTGGGGAGAAGCAGCAGCTTACCATGCTGTATGCTCCCTATATGGCCTTAGGTATGTACACAGCAGCAGCCGGTCCAAGATTGTCCGACAGGGCTCTTCCGAGATCGGGAGTTGTGCATTACTAACACCTTACAGGCGGGTTCATGGCTCTAGATATGGTATTCCGTCTACGCGACAAACTAATGCCGAAAAGCAAACGGGAATAAACAGCATACACACACAGACGTACCTGGTTACACGTAATCAAAACAAATTCTATTATAATGCAGCCAGCGTTATAATCGTACACATCATTACGTGCTTTGATCAAATCTCGCTAATACAAGTTCCCATCCCGACCAAAACGCCCTTGAATGTAAATGCAGAAAGCGGAATCCGTAGATCAAAACAAAAACCCGATCGCCCCGTCTAAGTCTCCGTGTGCCATGTCCAGAGCCCGGACGGCTTCCTCGCGCGAGAATCCCAGCTCTATGATCTTGGCAATCGAGTCCTGCGGCCATCGAGAAGCAGCCGGCGCCGCCGCAGGCCGGATATTGATTCTTGGCTGTGACCCTGACGCCCCGGACCCGGAGGCAAATGTGTTATTAGTGGTGGTTGGGGCAGTCGCGTTGGCATTGGGATTGTTCTCAGCTTTATGCGTGACCGCGCCAGTGCGGGCACCCACTTCGGCACCATCGGCACCCTTGACCGTAGGTTCGGCCTCGAACTCTTCAGTCAAGTGCTTGGGGATATCGCCCTCACCGAGGAAGGGGACAGCCTGGTCCTGAATGACGAGGGCACCACGCTGGAGGTCGATGCAGGCCTGGTGTCGGCGGAGCATGTCCAAACCCAGGAGCAGGTCGATTTGCTTGCCTTCCATGACAGTGAAGGAACAGGGCAGGAACATCTCGCCGATCTTGATCTGGGCCGAGTGAACCCGACCCAGGATCGGGGCGGTTCCGACGCCCTTGGCAATGCCGCCGTAGCGACGGTCTACCAGGCGCATTATGTTACACGATGTTGCACACTCGGGTGACATGATGGTCACTTGAGCGCCGGAGTCAACGAAGGCGTTTAGGCGGTGGCCATTTACTTCGACGGGGATGTAGAGCATTGTCACGCGACCGAAGGCTAGAGAAACAGGTTTGGTTAGCTTTTGGTTCAACCAAGTAGCCTAACAGGCAGTCTGTGAAGACGTAGAAACGTACACTCGGGATGATGCTCCATGGCATTGTGTAGATTTTCTGTAACAGCATTCTGGCGAATAATCTCCTCAATTTCCTTCTGGTTATCGGGGTTAAAAGGATCGGCATTGAGCATAGCAATACGAGCTTCCTTTTGCGCCTCCTGCTGCGCCTCGCCCTGTTGCTGCCTAAGCAGAACCTCACGGAATCGCTGGGCATTATCCGCGGCTTCAGACAGCTCCGGGTTCTGCCTACGGACTGCCTCGCGCACGCGGGGGTCACCAAGGATATGTAGACGAATGGTTTCGGGATCTGGCATGCCGGGGCGGGGTTGGGTATTCTGTCTCGGCGCGACAGAACTGGAAGCGGCGGGGCGAGTGGCTGAGGGTTGGGAAGCTCGGAGGGTGACGTGCACACCGAGCATGTCGCCCTCAGTGATGCCGGCTTGGTCTAGGGTTTGTTCGGGGTTCTGGAGGAGCTGGTTGTTGTAGACGAGTTGTTGGGCATGGGGTGGGATGTTGGTTTCGCTTTCGACAATGGCCTTGAGGAGCTCGATTGACATGTCACCGCCCACTTCTAGGTTGATGATGTCCGAGTCCGCCTGCTCGGGGCGGATGACGCTGACGGTGATACGCATGGTATCGGGTGGGCAAGGGTGCCTGCTAGGAAGGGTGCAAGGCAGGTAAATAATATAAGAAAGCGAGAGAGAGTAAGAGAAGATGGGAGAAGCTGAGAAGAAGTAGTAAGAGAGAGTGGAAATATTAATAAAGCGGGAAGGGAACACCTGACTCTCGCTCTCTCTCTCTCTCTTTCTCTCTCCCTTACATCCACTCTATTCCTTTCTCTTTTCCCTCAAATCAGAAATGTAATAGACTTTTTATTTCTGACCCTAGTGCTGCAACTAAACATGGTTTCGTACATCCATGATCTTCTCCCACCTATTGCATATGCGCAATGAGCCCCGCGCTGAGCCGTTTAGCTCCTCCACTAATGGCTCCATGGCCCCCCCCCCCCCCCAAACAGGCTAACGGCTGGCGGAGTTCTTCTCCGCGTCATCGCCAAGGGGTTGCAGAGAGCCTCGGAAAGTCACTGGATATAGAAATTGCGCCTTAAAATTACTCTGAACCTGTTTTTCTTGACTCCACGGACATGTGTGATATCCCACAATCACACCGGGATATTGACCCAGCGCTAAGGCTTCATCGTTTTTCGTACTTCTCAATCTACTACAGCGGGGCCATCTAGTCCGCAGGACTGGACTGTCCGGTATCCCCGTGGCTGGACCAGAGCTATTCCAAAAGTACGTCGGTTCGTGTCCATTGCAGCCGGACTAGCCCCAAACCAGACCCCCAAGCTATCCGAAGATGTCACAGTTCTCGCGATAAATCGTTTGACCGGGACCCCCCGCACTAGTCGACGTATACAGGAAACTTTACCCATGCTTTGAGGTTGCCAAGCGCGGCTCAGTTGGCTGGTGCATATTTCTGTCCTGCATGGACCAGTACAAATGTTGCGAACACCGCCAACACACAGATTTAAATACGTATAATGATGAGGCGTTGGTCAGGCGTTCAAATGGGCTGAGGATAACCAGCCGATTCAAGGCGGTACTATAACATACATACATACCTACGTAGGTAACTAACCGTTTCCGAGACAGCCATTTCTAGAGCCGTGCATTAGTGCTCATGTTTCAGATTGGTTCCCTTAACCCCCAACGTTCCTTAGATCAGGCATGGCGCCAGTTCGGGATTTGTTAGGGGCTGTTTCTGAAAATCTATCCTTATAGGTTGATTTTTGTACCCGTCCCCATAACTACATATGCACTCTAGATTTTATTTTTGTATCTTTAGCTAACCGCGCCAAGCAGGCTGTAAGAACGAAGATGGCTCGGCTTCATGTGGTCATCCTTGATCCTGAAATCTAGTATCTTCGCTATGGTGCTGTTTAACTGACGTCGTGGCAATGATGCGTAGATTTCCGCCCCTAATAATGTCGATACCCCGAATGCGCCGATGAATGGCCGTCGCCTGTTTGACTTTCGTGTCCAAACGCGCAGAGCAGATCCTACAGGATTTTTACGTGTCTAGCCGGAGTCCCTGGATTGGTGGAAGCATTGCCGACTTGAATTATACTCTCAATATATAGGTGCAATTTGACTTATATCAAGCTACAAGCTATGAATGCGTATAGCCGAAGGGACACACCGGCCGGGGACCCCGACCCCACTAACCACCTTGGCGTCGATCACTTCGTCGATAGGAATCTAGCCCGAGGGAGAAGACAGGGTGAGATTCAACATATTAAGCCACATGACATGCGACCTTGAGTCAACCTATCTTCGAATTGCTACCACTGAGCCTCTCTTCAAATAGCATTTTGCCATTTATAGGGCGGTATGTCGGCATGCGCCGATACTGTCTAGGCCATTGAAGTTGAAAGGGGGGGTGGGTTATAGGTTCATGCTCGTTGTGATGGACGTCGTAGTCAGCGATGGAGAGGGGGTGGGTCATGGCTGTATTGTTGGAGAAATCTTGTATGTGGCTACCTAGATTAAGGATAGCGAATAACGAGTGCTGTCCTCCGTAGAGGGCCTCCATAATCATTGTAGATATCGACATTCAAATAATTAGGGCTATCTTCGCATCCCCCATGTGCCTCCCCCACATTCTGAAGTACAATTAGCAAAAAGACCCAGAAAGATAAAGATGCCTTGAGAATACTCTTAAAAAAAAGCCATTAGAGATAGCAGGTAGACACTAGTCAAGTGGCCATACCTTTTGATCTCACATAATACGTAGTTAGTATGGTAGTGTGGTCTGTATGGGTTACACGATAGGACAAATCAGAGAAAAATGGAGAATAATCCCAAGGTCTCGAAGTCACATCATAATAATTCATAACGTCGTCTTACTAGCTTGCACTAATAAGAAAATCTGGGCTGAGAAAAAAAAAAGACTTCTATCCCTCTGATCCGAAAAGAAAATCACGCCTGAAAACTCCTGATTTCCACTGCTAGCGTGCAGCGATACTCGGGAAGAATCGCGGGCCTGCATACCCATGTGCGATGATGCTTTCAATATCAATATTCCCATGGGCCCGTGGGCTCCATAACTTGATGAGAATGAACCGCCCAGATCTTGAAACGTAACGTCAGTATTTTGGTTCTCCACATCCAATACCAATTATACATACGGAGGCGGATCAAATTTGATGGTAACCATGCTCTTCTCTCGCTCGATAAAGAAGCGCGCATGTGGCTTCAAAACCTCGGCAACTGGCTGAGCAGGCTCGACTGGGGGGTTTGGATGTATGAGACTAGGGCCATGGCGCGGTCTCTGCTCGCCGATACGGCTGAAAGCATTCAGCCGTTCATATTCAACTGGCGGAGGAGGAGGGGGAGGAGGACGCCGATTACGTCTGCTTGAAGGGTCCTCCTCATCGCTTGGACTCTCGTCCGTATCCGATAAAGGATCTTCTGTCTGTTCGGTCTGGGTTCTCTCGAGCAACGCAGAGTGCCAGTCTTCGTCATCTCCAGAATCTTCATTATTCTCGTCGTACTCGGTGGTAATGCGAAACTGCGCTTGCGGGTCTTCTGCGGTATGCGGAACCGCGGCTGAATGTGGGCTCATGAGGACTGTGCGTTCGAGATTTTGGAGTGGTGGTCGGAACCCGGTGAGGTATTCCTGGGAGGGTTGCATGCCACTACGGCGGCCTCGACGGCGGTATCGGCCGTTGGAGTATTGGATTTGGTATTGGGCAGTGCGGGCAAGCAGTTCATCAGAGGTCATGGCGACAAAGACCATGCCTTCTTGTATTCTGGTTCAATCAGCCACGATTAGCTATCAGCTCAACGTACAGACACGCCTGGTGGACATACGGAGCATCGAACCCGCATTTCGGGGCTCTGATAACGAGCTTCTTCAAGCAGAACGGGGCCTCGCCTCGATGGCAGAGGACTAAATTGCAATGGGCCTCTTTGGTAGAGTAGAAACTTGTATTGTTGTCCAGCACGTTCTCTGGACGCGAACACCCGCTATCCGGATCGTAGTTCCCTCCGTCGCAGCTGGCGATTTCCATTTGTAGCATCCCCGGCACTACTTGCCCATATTGACCGTAATTGAAGCCTCGAAATTCCTCGCGATTGTCGTCCGTGTCTAGCTTCCGACGCTTCATCCGTCCTTGGCCATCACGGCCCGACTGGCCGGATGGTGGCATGAGGGACGGTGACCTGGATAAAGATCCGTCCGGGCTTGGTTGTCTGATCGCTTGCCAGGGTAGGCGATGCCGAAGGATATGCGATTCTGGTGAAAGCGAAGTTTGAACTCCTTCTGAGCGAATCTGGTCTCGTAAAATACTCCGTATTCGCTCTGCGGGGCCAGCCGCCTCGGACTGTAGTTGTTGAATCTGGCGATCGATGTCGGCTCGGGCTTGCTCAAAATTGGTACGATCGCGAGCTCGGTCCAGAGAATGCTCGGCAACTTCTCTATTTAATGTTTCTAAGGCAAGGGTGGCGTTATAGGTGTTGTGGGCACCGGAGCGATTTCGTTCCGATACGAAATTGCGGAGATGCTGGAGACGGAGGATCTCAGGGCGTTCGTCAGGCCTGGTAGTACGGGATATACGGCGGGACGAAGAGGAAAAAGCACGAGGATAATCGTAATTCCCTGACTAAAGGGAAGTGTAAGACATCAGTCAGACACATAGGAGCCATGAAAGACACACCATTATTCAGGTTTGTTGGTACCGCTTGAGAGGTGGAGTTGACTATATCGGGTTAGGGGGATAGGGGTAGGTGATACCGTGAAGGCACCAACCTGACAGAAATAAAAGAAAACCAAAAATATTAACGTAGAGATAGAAGGATAAGTTATCTGGAGAGAGTTGGCACCTTGTAGGAAGCCCAAGGTTGATAACACGTGATGGTCGATTAGATCATCGATAGTGGAGTGGAAGTTGAAAGATTGGGAGTTGCAACTTCATTGATGTATTCAGGGCGTTGATAAATTCTTAGATTTTATTGATCTCTCTTTTATTCTTCACCTCGTTTTTCGTGTAAACCCCTTCATCGGGCTTGTGTTGATAGCTAATTGTGTCACTTAGCTCGCTCTTTGACCACATAATTTCCATGACAAAGTACCAGAGTCATGAAAATTGCCTCTGGAATGTTCATCAATATCCCTTTGAGATGTAATAAAGAAAATAAAATCTCATCTGGCAGAGATGATAGCACCTCTCGACCTAATTTTTGCTCGGAAGCACAACAGGAAGGTAAGTGCTAGTTCTGCAGGAATGCTCTATAGTGTTATAGTAATGTGTTGAAATAAGTTAGAACATACAGCATAAAGACAGACAGCTTTAATTGTGTTATTTGCTAATTGAGTCGTGTGCTGGGCAAATTTCTACATGTTGACCTGATCTATAACCTGGTGTTTTGGAAGTCCACTTCTCCAGTGATCTATAAAATCTCTAAATCACACGCATTCAAACTGATTTGTTCTATTATACTACATTGAAAGATTTTGCTTATTCCCCTCTGCATACCCTATAAATGTCCCATAAATGTATTATGAATATAAATCATCAATGAGACAACTTCGTCCGCATAAAGTTGTATACTTCTTTGACCCCACGGCCCCACACAGTAGCTCCCGGGTCACCTGATTTAAACCTATCTGAACTGCCGAACTTCTGAACTTCCAAACCTACAAACTTCTGCCTACAACTTCGCAACTTCCACCTTCATTGCATATCTTACCAAGTCCCTAAGTATCTACTTCCCACTCAACATCAAATTCTCCAGAACACAACTGCGGGGCTTCAAATCGCCAAGCTCGCACCTGGGCAAGATTGTACTCTTATCTCAACCACTCAGTCGATACTATGACGGAGCAACAAGATAATGCACAGTCAATCAGCGCTGGTATGGTCAATGAATAGAATTTGATTTGGTTCATACTAACTTTGACAGATGAAATTGCGCTGTACGATCGACAGATCCGGCTGTGGGGAGTGCACGCACAAGAAAAGTGAGCAAACCAGCTCCCAAAGCACCACATTTCCTAACAACGGCCAGAATACGATCGGCAAACATTCTTCTCATTACCGTGAAAGCTCTCGCGAACGAAGTCGCCAAGAATCTCGTCCTGGCGGGCATCGGCTCCCTCACCATAATCGATCACCAGAACGTCACAGAGGAGGACTTAGGCGCGCAGTTCTTCATCGCTGAAGCACAAAGTGAGCAGGATGTGATTGGAAAAAATGTGAGATATAGCCAGAGTAGAATACAGAATACCTAACGCCATCCGCTAACAACCCAATCCAGCGCGCGCAAGTCGCAGGACCGCAAATCCACAAAATGAACCCTCGAGTCAAGCTCAACATCGACACTTCCGATGTCAAAACCAAACAACCCGACTTTTTCGCGCAATTTGACATCACAATCGCTACAGAGCTCGATTTCCTAACCAACACCACTGTGAATGCCGCCTGCCGACTAGCCAACCGACCCTTCTACGCCGCCGGTCTACACGGTTTCTATGGTTACGTTTTCGCCGACCTAATCAGCCACGACTTTGTGATCGAGCGCAACAAATCCAACATGGCCCCCGCAACCCAAGAAACACCCACTCGCAGCATCATCGACATAACCACCAAAAAAGAACAAAATGACGCCAACAAGAAAGAACCAAGCAAGGTCATCGAGCTAGTCACTAAGCGCGAGGTGTACACGCCACTAATCCTCGCAAATACATCTCCACTACCGGAAGACTACACACGAATCCCACGGCGTCGCAAGCAAGTAACCCCACTACTCAGTTGCCTGCGTGCACTGTGGGAATTCGAAAAACTACTCGGCCACCGCCCAACCTTCACGCACGAAGACCTGGAACTATTCACAAAGCTATCGCGCGACCGACACCAGGAATTAAAGTTAGAGCCACTCACATTAGACTCTGTGTTCCTGCGGACCTTCCTACAGAACCTGGGCAGCGAGCTGAGTCCCGTTGCGGCATTTTTGGGCGGTGCACTGGCGCAGGATGTTATTAATGTTCTTTCAGCAAGGGAGCAGCCACTGCAGAATATGTTGCTGTTTGATGGGGAGAAGAACATTGGTCCAATTTATGCTCTTCACCCTTTCTTCCCTGATGATGGTGTGGGGATGGCTGCTGTGCCACCGGTTAGGAACCCGATTACAGTTCCTGTTGCTGGGGATTTGTGAGGACAATTTAAAGAAATGAAATGGGATATGTGGTGGATTGGACTGAGATGGGTTCTTCCAGCCTCATTACGAATCTCCTTTTTTTTTTTCAACGGATTCCAAGAATCCCGGACTTAGACTTGGGTCTTATTATGTACAATAGAACACGAGCAACCATTGAAACTTGATACTTGCATGAAACCTGGGAACTATGTACAATTTTGTTCAGATATGATATTAGCTAGTTACTCGAACTCAAGGCTTGTTTAGAACCTGCAATGCTATTCGAACCCAACCCAAACCAAACCAGACGCCGTCTTTAACACAATATCACAAAATGCACGATATACTTGCAAAGGGAACTAGCAAATTAACAGAAGGCCTCAGTGATGGCCCTCTTCTTTTCCAAGTTCCTCATCACTGCTCTTCCGCGGTCCCATAGAAGGACCATCCTCCTCATCAGAAATCAATCCATGGAGCTCGAATGCCTCGGCATCCTGAATCTGTTGCGAGTTTGAGCGCGCATGACCGTTCAAGTTTGCGTTTCCGTTAAGAGTAGAGTACATGGGGCCGTCCTGGTTGGTGGACTCGGAGTTGGGCCAGGCGTGGACAGCGTAGATGTGGAGGAGGATGTTGACGACTGAAAAATAAGAATGAGTGGTTGCTCTAAAAAAGAAAAATGAGGACCGTGGAGCTAACTTACAGAGGAAGACGATGAAAGCGATGCTGTAGAGGATCAAGAGATAGGCCACGTGGGTGATGCCTGCGTTGTGCAGCATTTGCATCTGCTCCTCGGTGGCGCCCATGAAGAGGAAGCCGGAGGCGTAGAGCAACTGCAGAAAAAGAAGCCAGTGAGTATGATCCTATATATTTCACATTGGCCAGAGAGGATACATACGAAGGGAGTCAGGTATTGGAAGCTGTTCGGCTCGGAGAGAGCAGGCTTATCCTTCAGCACGAACGAGATCTCAATGATGCGGGTCAGACCAGCCGCCATCAGAGTATATCCGAAGAGGGAGTGGACCATAGTACTGATCATCAGCGTCTGGGGGTGAGCGGACATGGCATAGCCGGTCATCAAGATGACAATGGCCGGAATGAGGTTACGCTTAGGACGGCCGCTGCGGGTACGGCTGAGCCACATACCCAGCAGACCAGCACACCACCAGACAATACCCATAGTGGTATGCTGGAGGTCATTGTGAACCCAAGGGGTACCCCAGCGGTGCTCGGTGAAAGTATTAACGCAGCCCCAAGCGGCGATGACGAGAGAATCGAAGAACTCCTGACTGCGGCCGGTACGGCGCAACCAATATTGGCCGACAAGCAAAAGGATGGTCAAGCAAATACCATATCCGATGAAGGCGGAGCCCATGATGAAATGAGCCAGACACTGACCAAGGTGGTCACCGCGACAGAAGCCGAGCGCAGCAATACCACCGAATAGCATCTGCGCCCAACTGAGGACAGGCATGACCTTACCGATGATTCCATGGGCCAGAACGAAAATCCATCGGATGCGAGCCTGGCCCGCCTTCACCAGATGCAGCTTGAGATAGACTCCGAGGACGACTTGTGCGACGAGCAAGAACATAAGCCAATTTGCGACGGAAGCGTGTACATTCTTATCAAATTGGCGACCTTTGTGGGCATGGCCGAGGAAGTAGGCTAGTACGGCAACTATTGTGCCGAGGATTTGGACGGGGACGTGCCAACGGGAGCGGATTATCTGATTTGCTCTTGTTAGAGATGGCCTAGACGGTAGGAAGGAAACGTTGAGGCAAGTGAAGCAGTACATACCCCGAGAACCATTCCCGTTGGGAAGATTATGCCAAAAGCGAAACCCATGAGAATCATATGAGTCCATAGTGTTGCGTCCTGGGATAAGCGTTAACTTTTTGTAAGACGAATGGCGTAGTATCACATACGATAGGATCCTGCGAGATAGATTCGCCCGGAGGAACATCCTCATGGCCACCATGGGCAGAAGCCGAGGCAGCCAATACTAATAAATTCCATAAGGACTGACGGATAAATGCCATGGTGTAGTTGAAGTAGGGAGTTGGAAGGGAGAAGAGAACAGATGCGGATAAGAGGTAGACCCAATCCGGAGCATCCGATTATGTGGGACAGCGCGTGGAATCAGGGCAGTACTTTTGATCTCCAGGGCTGTATTCTCTAAGGTTGTATCCTCCAGGGCTATATTCTTTAAGTAATTTAATTATTCTACTCCATATCATTTAACTACATATGTGTTTAACAACTTTAAAAAAATCTATCAAAATCGGGGACGCGCACGCAGAAAGTCTTGGACTGGATTAATCAGCGTGGCTGTGATTGGCCTGGACTATATAATTCTGGGGTAGATAGTGTAGATGGATATCCTCCTCTTTACAATGCTCTTCCATCTTGCATCTCACAACACATATGCATATGCACTTAGTTGCAAACAATTCCACATGGATACATCCAAAGAACCAAAGTCCTACACGGACCAACAACGAATAGTACGTCCCAAGTATCCCCCACCCTGCTATCTGTGTCCATTATATCAAGCATTAACACCCAACACAGGAGATCCTTCGCGCTTCAATTGCAAGTTTAGAAGCTAAGCATGCGCAGCTCGAAAGAGACCTCACTTCAGTGACTGCCCAGCTCATGTAAACACTCCTCAGTTCCCCCAATTGCATGAAGGCTGTACAAGACACAGCCCCAAAAGAACATGGAAACATCTCATTTTGCATCTCTAACCACCACTTACTCCAGTGACAACCCCGATACCACATGCAAGCGTTATACCCAACTCTTGCACGAGTACAATGATATCAAGGATGTCGGGCAGGGATTGATGGGGCTTCTTGCTGAAGCGAGAGGGGCGAGGCAGATTGAGGTGGAGAAAGAGTTTGGGGTTTCGGACGAGATTTGAAGGGCTATACTCCAAGGGCATCACTGATTGAAAGGATTTGAAATGCTTTAAAGGGATTTGATGGAGTGGATGGAGTTTTGAGCGAAATCAGGTGGCGTTGAATTGAGATTCATTCATTGTATTCATTCATCTATTCCTACACCCCGAATGGATTGGGGGGTTTTTTTGCTTTTTTCTTTTTATCACGGGGAGACAGTCTGGCCCGGCTTTCCGGGTCTTCGCCGCTGACAACAAATAATCTATCACAAGAGTGGGGGAGATTGAAAGCGGAGATATGAGAATGGGATAGATGGCGAGACATGAGACATTAGCCAAGAAAGGAAGAAAAAGGTATGTGTACATAAATAATAATAAAAAGCGTGAATCAGGTGCTTAGCCACTCTTGCCAAGGGACTGGAGGTTGACCAGCTCGAAGTAACGGCCCTTGTTGCGCAACAGCTCATTATGGGTGCCGCTCTCAACAATCTTGCCTTGATCGAAGACATAGATAATATCAGCCTTCTGAATGGTACTGAGACGGTGGGCAACGGCGATGGTGGTACGACCGCGCGCGGCAGCATCCAGAGCAGCCTGGACGACCTTCTCAGACTCGGAGTCGAGGGCGGAGGTGGCTTCATCCAGAAGCAAGATCTTGGGGTTGCGAAGGAGGGCACGGGCGATAGCGACACGCTGCTTTTGGCCACCGGACAACATGCCTCCTTTGCTACCGACGATGGTATTGAAGCCCTCAGGGAGAGACATGATGAAATCGTAGATATTGGCGTCCTTGCAGACCTGGACCAGCTCCTCTTCGGTGGGGTCATCGTTGGGGGTACCGAGCAGGATGTTCTCCTTGATGGTACCCTGGTAGAGAGTGGGCTCCTGGCTGACTAGCGCTAAGTGGGCGCGGTAGGAATTGACATTGAGGTCGGCGATGTTCTTGTTGTCGACGTAGACACCACCGGAAAGTGCATCATAGAAACGCTCGAGAAGGGCAATGGTGGTACTCTTGCCACATCCACTAGGTCCGACCAGGGCAATGTACTGACCAGGCTTGACGGTGAGGTTCAAACCGCGGAGCACTGGCTGCTCGGGGCGGGTAGGATAGCGGAAGTGCACGTCCTTGAACTCAATGGTTCCCTCGCAGTGTGTCAAAGTCTCACCCTCTTCGGACCATGTGTCAATGGTGGGCCGACGCTCGAACAGCTTGAGGAACTCGGCTGCGGCGTTCTTGGCCTTGCCCATGTCCGGGGAGAAGGAGAATACTGTTCCAGCAGATTGGGCACCGAACAGGATTTCACTGAAGCAGACAAAGAAGCGGAAAGTGTCATATTCGTGGTGACCGAGAAGGGTTCCACCGTACCAAAATCCGAGGGCAACACAGAAGAAGACCAAGGCCTGGGAAGCTGCATACAAGGACGACGACTTGACTACCGAGATCAAGCTTGTACGGCCCTGGATATCGAGCTGAGCATGGTAGTATGACCAGACGTCGTTCTCACGAGTAAGCGAAGCGACAGTGCGAATGGCAGATGTAGCCTCGCATGCATAGCTGGCTGATCCCTCATAGGCTGCCTTGGAACGTGCCTGGAACGCAGCAAGCATGTAAAAGCGGTAGAAGCCACACCCGAGAAGAATTGGAACAACAGAGACGCAAACGAGGGCGAGCTTCCATCCGAAAGCGAGCGCGATGACAATTGCAGCGATGAGAGTTGTCGAAGTCATGAGGATTGTTCCAAGGGTTTGACCACTGATACCGGACAAGTGCTTAGTTTCAGTCGAGAGGAAGGAAGTCAAAGCGCCGGTGCTGTTCTCCTCACGATCGAAGAAGTTGATATCCTGTCGGAGCATGACTCGGAAAGCCTTGCCGCGGGCCTTTCGGATCAATCTCTCGGAGCTAAACGCGAAGGCGATACCGTGAACCGAGAAAGTGATGATTTGAACAATACCAACAATAAAGAACATCAGTGACCAAAAGTTGGCGTCCGATCTCAGCTTGGTATATTGTTCTTTGGGCAAGGAAAGTGAGCTGATAGCTTTGGAATACAAGAAAGCTTGAGTGGGTTGACCACAACCAGCGAGAACCGAGAAGAAAAGACCGACGATCATGAATAACCTCTCCTCCTTGTTAAAAGAGGCGATAAACTTGACCAGAGTCCAAAGTGAGTACTTTTTGCCACCACCTTCAGCAATCTTCTGCGCGAGAATGACACTGGAAACAGACTTGCGAGACTCCTGGCGATGCATAGCGTCCTGGAATGCTTCAGCCTCATCCTTCGCACCGCTCGAGCCACTAGCGATGGACTTGACACGTGCGATGTGAGACTTGGTCATGTTGTCGATGCTATCTTCATCATCATCCACGTCCAGTGCATCTGCGTCCTTCTCCTCATTGATACGCTGGGCCTCGACGAGCTTGAAGTAAGGACCGTCACGTTCAGTTAGTTGGGTGTGAGAACCCTGCTCAACGATGGATCCGTTGACAAAGACAACAATGTTATGCGCAGACTTGATGGTGGACAGACGGTGAGCAATGACAATGGTGGTGCGGCCCTCAGCAGCGCGGTCAAGCGCGGCCTGGACAACACCCTCGGACTTGGTGTCCAAGGCCGAAGTGGCTTCATCAAGAAGCAAAATCTTGGGGTCGCTGACCATAGCACGAGCGATGGCAATGCGCTGCTTCTGGCCTCCAGACAGCAAGAATCCACGCTGACCAACGTTGGTCTCATAACCTTCGGGAAGAGCAGTAACAAAGTCGTGCGCATTGGCCATCTTGGCGGCATTCTCAATGAGCTCCTTGACCTTTTCTTCGGACTCATGCTCGAAGCGTGTTCCAATAAGACCGTGGCGAATATTCTGGTAGATGGTTGTGCCAAACAGAACAGGTTCCTGGCTGACCAGCGAGATCTGCTGGCGTAGCCATCGCAGGTTGAGGGTTTGGATGTCATGTCCGTCCAAGAACACTTGGCCGCCGACCGGGAGATAGAACCTCTCGACAAGACCGACGACAGTACTCTTGCCAGATCCCGAAGGACCGACCAATGCGGTAGCCTTACCAGCAGGCATAACGAGGGAAACGTCCTGCATGATTGTAACTTCGGGGCGGGAGGGATAGATGTGCTTCACGTTGCGGAACTCGATGTGACCCTCGACGTGGTCAAGGATGATACCCTCATCAGAAGTAGGGTCCAGCGGGGATTCACGGTCGATAGTCGCAAAAATCTTGGTAGCAGCAGCTACAGCATTGGTGAATGCCGAGGCATTAGGGCTGACATTGCCCAATGAGAAAGATCCGATAAGAATAGCCATCAAGATGGTCAAAACATGTCCGACATCAACTTTGCCTTGCACCAGGAATTGAGAGCCCATCCAGAATCCAAGGCCGTAGTTCATGAACATAAGTCCAAACATGATACCGACCATCACGGCGAGACTCATCTGCAGGCGCATACCCCAGCGCTCTGCACGAGCCAAGTGAGACTCGTACTGCTTTGCGAGCTTGTCCTGGGTACCGAATGCGGTCGCATTGCGAATCGAGCTGATGACTTCCTCCGCGACAGTTCCACCGGCACCAGCGCTTTCCAGGGAAAGCTTGCCGTACTTGATGATCAGCCTGGAGCCTCCGCCCATGATCAAGACCAGCGCGACCATAGTGGAAGTACAAATGCCAGCCAAGGGGGCATACTTGATGTATGCGACCACGAAGGCTGTCACAAAGGTGGCGACGGCAGTCAAGGTCAAGCCGACCTTTTCGGAGATACCATCCTGAATAAGGTTGGTGTCTGCTGTGATACGGGTAGTCACTTCACCTGCACCCAGCTTGTCGAAGTAGGCGATGTTCTGGCGCAGGATAGCCTCGAGGTAGTGCTCTCGAATTTTCTGGGTGACATGTTCTCCGGTGTAGATGAAGCCGACGGTGCTGACGTAGATGGTCACGAACTCTCCAATACCTAGGTAGACAAAGTACAAGACGTTGCTGGTCAACTGGTCGTAGAATTTACTGTAGGGGATGGTGTTGAGCATAATCTTCTGGAAAGCTGTCGCCAAGGAGCCGAAGAGAATCGTGAAGAGGGGCATGGCAGCACCGGCGGCGATCGCGCAGAGTGCGCTGACGGCAAGGATGAAGATGTCCGTATGGGAGGCATATCGGAAGAGACCGAAGTAGGAGATATTAACAAGAGGCGCGTCCAGTTGTTGTTTCAGGATGTCCTTTTCATGTTCGGGCAAGTGAGCATAGATCGCATCCTCATCTGTCGCGATTACAGTATTGCTTCCGTGTTCCTTTGCTGATGACGTGGAAACGGAATCGGAATCAGGCTTGTTGACAGGCTTCTCGTGAAGCTGAGGGTCGTCCACCACCTTCTCAACGGCCGACACGCCTTCCTCAGGCTGCTGCATGTTGAAACTTTTGCGTTCGGACCTTTACTCCATGAAGGAATGGTATAGGATTGAAGATCTGAAATGAATCAAGGTAGAGAAAGGACGAAAGGAAAGATTAAGGGAGGTAAAGGGAGAATTTAGAAATTAGATTAAAAGTGTAGTGATTAACTAAAGGGGCGAACGAAGGGGGGGGGAAGGTTGATCTAAATACATATAATGTGTTTGTCGGATTTTCTTATTATACAACTTACAAAGGGAGGGGATCGAGTTTTTTTTTTTTTTTTAAGCGGGTCGGATACTACGAACTCCGACTTCCTCTTTTGCAGATTACTATCTTTCAGGTTACAATTGACCTGCCTAAATCTCTACTTATCTCATTATATCGACGGGGTACGGAGTAGTAATATCCAGAATCCCTCACGCTTGTACACGTAAGACTCGAACATTCCTATTTTCACATTCTTCGCGCAAGGGCATCCCTAGAGCGCCCCCTTTCTAAGAACGCGACCTGACAGCCACGGGGCCGTTTACTTCTTTTACTCCATGTTTGATGCAGGTCCAGGATGATTGGCGCATGCGGCACTTACATAGTACATGCTATTATACTAACCATGTATACTACCTATGCCAACGCACGGAGTACCCCATGGGCCTTAATCTACAATATCATGACGCAAAAGCGAAAACGAATACGAACTGAGTCAGGGTGAATCTTCTACCCCGTAGTCCAATTTCGACCGAATTTTAATCCGTCGAGTCAAAAGATAGCTTTACGGAGTAGCGTACAAATGCGGCCTCAGTCCGCTCTGGACCCTTTATTTACTCCGTAATACTATTTGAAAAGACCTTGCGGAGTACGGAGTACTGTTCGGCGAGTTTCATGTCCGATGTCCGATATACGATGTACGCTTTGACACTAAATTAGCCTCCTTTTTTTTTATAAAATTGTGCTTATAATCTGGGAACCTTGGATTGTTGCCTAAATAGGTAATTGCCAATGCTTATGTCTGAGATAACCTAAACAGCCCTAGAGGACCCCCTTGCAAGAACCCAGTGCGACATCGTAGACCTGTTCTTATGTCTGGATCAATTCTGAGATAGATTTTCCCGAAATTTCACTTTGTACAAAAATGCTGAGATGACTCATGCCAGTACAAAAAATTAATACCATCGAAGGTACAACTCTCATGGTCTACCTGATCCATGACATCCCCAAGCATAATCCCAAGGTTCGGATTGTCAAGTTACGATGCTCAACAATCTTGATGTCATTCGGTCTATGACGCCATTATCCATCCAAATCAAATGGCCAAGACCAAGGAGCTTATTGCCGTCCTGAATCCCCTTATGGTATCAACAGCCTTATAGTAAATACTTATAGCTGTGAACATGAGTCTATGTTTCATTATTCATATCGGGCGCCTCGAAATTGATGCTCACACTATATTAGGTCTTCTACTTTGATTTGAAGACTATCACAACTATACTATAGTATCCCAGTTACATGGTCAAGGTGCTCGAATTACGCAACCACGACACTCCAGGCTACTTCCTAAAGGACCCGGTGTAAACAAATATCTATTTACATAGGAAAGGGAAAGTACGATAACATATATAGTAACAATAGCATAAACAGGGAAGGCGCATTGGAGGGTATTACTGCCGACAGGATGCCTCCTTCATGAAAAGGATCTTGTGTGAATTTGCAGGCGTAGCATCGGGTTGTTGCTCAGGTGTTGGTGTTATAGGTATAAGAATATACCAATCTTCTCCGCCTTTCCAGGCAGCTGCGCACAATCTCGTATGGTCCCGTAGTTCGATTATAGTCGATTGTGCTGTCAAGACGGGAGCTAGGATGAATATTTATATATTAGAATTCCGAACAGGAACTGACTATGACATGATTCAGGTAGTGTATTTTTATTAATTTGTCTTCATTGTGGTAGGAATAAAGAGGAAGCATTTAAAGCTGGAATTCAATGAGAAGTTTTGGAACTTGAGACAAGCCCGACGGCGTGAACACATCATGCACCTAGAAGTTGTGATTTCAACGATTCTATAGGGATTTGACAAGGCAGGCATCCAAGACCATTCGCGCGCCAACCGAGCCTCACGTTGATTGGCTCATCTATGGTCGAAGCCACATGCAGCTATCTACTATGTCTCAACGCCAGAGACCTCAATGCTTCCCTTTCCTCCATTTACTACTCACAAAGCTGTAATAAATTAAGATCTAAATCCGAAGTCACCACCTGAGGGTTTCGACAATAATCGCCGCTGATACAACATTCTGGACTGCTAAAATGGAACCAATGCTATGCCCAACTTCTGATGTACGTGATGCTTGCATACTTACATACTCTTTACTGAAAGTCTCACCTACAGCCCCAAAGCCGTGATCTGGAGGGCGACTTCCCGCTAGACGGAAAGGACCTTGATTCCGTCACGGACGAGGCTCTGATAGCCCTTCTTGAATCTGCTCCTGCGCTGCACGACCTCGGCTCCACAAAAGTTGTCCGACTCTCACGGCATTTGGTGATGAAAGGCGGCGGCAGTGTCCTACCATGCGAAGCAGAGATGCTCAATTTCGTTGCCTCTAAAACTGGCATTCGAGTTCCACGAGTCCATCGCTCATTTCAAGTCGAAGATAGGACGCAGTATTTTCGCACGAGAGGATACATTGTGATGGATTTTATCGCAGGAAAACCCCTCGATAATTATTGGCCCGACTTACCCTACGACAACCAAAAACAAATCGCTATGCAGATTGCAGACATGATCAAAGACATGCAGTCTGTTGTAATCTCACAGCCAGGCCCCCTTGGTGGTGGGAAATTTCGTGGCCGATTCTTCACAGATTATAGCGCCGGTCCGTTTAAGGACAGTGCTGAACTTCAAGGCTGGTTTAACCACAAGCTTGATATCTGCAAGCACGTGAACCAATGTCCCAAGGATATCCCTCCATTTCGATTCACCACCTTTGTCCTTACCCATCACGACATAAGTCCTCGAAACCTGATCCTAGACCCCAATGGAAAAGTGTGGTTGATTGACTGGGCCAATGCCGGTGCATATCCTCCCGTTTTTGAAAGTGCTGCGTTACTGGCTCAACAGTTTTTCACCGACTTCAATGAAGCAGTTTTGTCTGTGTTTCCACGGTTCCCGGAGGAAGAACTGCAACTCGATTCAATTACATATGGGTTGATTACGGCGGCATTGGCTTAATGAAGTCTTTTACAAATCTGTTTGTCATCTGTTTGTCCATGTGCTGAAATTGTTGTATTGCTCCAGTTCTGTTGGTTGATCATTGATTGTAACATCCCTAAGGAAGGCTGAGCCTCAGAAGGGTAGTATACGGTTTACGAGCTTACGACACAAGGCCTCCAGGGCTATATTCCTTATACTAACGTAGTACAAAATAGGACATTAGTACGTAAGATTACATAGTACCTCGAGTGTTCATGGCGATCCTGATATGCTAAGATAAATGCTAAGCCAAAAGAGGGATCATGATATATGATCAAGAATGGACATCGTATGCTAGACTTTATAATTGTATCATGCCATGGACACTGATGCACGTATGTTGTACTTTGTAGAGCCTGACCCACTTTGCCCCGTTCTTGATATTTGGTTTGCCTTAATGCCTCAAAGCCTTAGGCAAAAGTCCCACATCACCTGACCCAACCGAAGCGAAAAGCCAAGCCCTGCCGCACACAAATCATCCACATCCGAAGGTCGACCACTTCATCCGTCCATCCAACAAGCTCGCCGTCGCGATCAACCCTTCAAGATGCCGGTATGTTACCACCCTGTTCGCGCCATTTTCGAAAAATACTTTCGCCATCATCGCCATCACCGTCCCCAGTCAGACCTCTGAAAAATTGAGAAATAAAATTTTAACCCGTCATTTTCCACACAGAGCAACAAGACCTTCCGCACCAAGCAAAAGCTTGCCAAAGCTCAGCGTCAGAACCGCCCCATCCCCCAGTGGATCCGTCTGCGCACCGGCAACACCATCAGGTAAATCGCATCTTTGTTTCGAGATCCAAATCCATCATTATATCCGAGGCCGCCATTTGTGGGAAGAGTGATGTCGGAAATGCGAGAGAGGAAAGGGAAATACACATAACCATCCACCCGCCGACCGCACGAACCCACGAATGGAGGAAATAAAGAGATACAGGAATTATATCGAATCGAACATATGGCTGATACAATCTGAAACAGATACAACGCCAAGCGCCGACACTGGCGTAAGTCGACCCTGAAGGTCTAAGCGGACCCTCAGTATTTGCACCCTCCGTCCGGCCATTCTCAAAAGCCCCAGTTCAGCTCGCGATGTCATATGGCAACCAAAGTGTTTCTGTGCGGGGTGGTTCAAGGGTTTTTGATTATTTCGAAACCCTCTTCATGATGTGACGCCCACAACCGAATTTCGAACAACATGCCTTCACCATGAACTTGAGAGCGCTAGTGGATGTGGAACTACTCTTGAGTGCAGTTGCAAACAAAAATTCAAAAATTCAATCTTGATCCGGGTCTTGCTTTGGGTTGTGCCTATCTTTTTTTTTTCTTAATCTTCCAATGGGTCGTCCTTTTTTCCTCCACGGTTCCGAGTGGGGATATGATGGATTTTCAACACGCCTAATTTATCGATATAGATGGCAGGCCCGGATTATGTTTGCAGAAGGGGTTGTTGCTGTTGGGGGCTGATCGTCTTCTTGCTGGGGGCGGGCTTGTAGGACTGGCGTGGCGGGGGATTTTCTTTTTTGATACAAAATCTGATTGAATCGAATTGAATATCCTTTTGCCTACTTTTTTGGGGTAGTCTTTAATGGCTGTAGATTTCGATTGGGACGTTGCATAGGGAACATTTCCATGCTGTCTGTTCCTGATTGTGGTGTTACTATCTGTATCACGGTTTGTATGTAGTACAGTCTTGGATCTACGTTTATCTGCCAGATACTGTTACAACTTGGCGGATTTCGTCATAGTAGAAATATATTTGCGCAAGAGTCGATTTCATGACCCCGCCATATAATGCTACATATGTACTGGGTTCAGGGTGATTCTGCAACAAATGCCATTGGCAAGGCCAGCGATTATTCCAAATGAAATCAGGAATCCTTGGGTAAAAATAGCAAAATAAAACGCCCCAAAAAGTAACAGCCCTACTATTTAGACAGCAGGGGCTTTGTCGTAAACAGCCAGGAGGATATCATTTTCTTTTTTTAAGAAAGACAACAGACAAAAAAAACCATTCAACGACTAAAGTAGAAATATCAGCATAGATTCTATCCAAAGATACTGTTGTAGCAACTTACTCCTCGGCCCACTCGTTCTCACGGCGGATCTGATCTTCTTCCTCGGGAGTAAAGTCGTTTTGGATGTTGAAAGTCTTGCGGATTTCCTCTGGAGACTTGCCCTTGATCATGTTAGCGACGGTCTTGCAACCGACGTCAAGGAGGGCCTTAATGTCCAAGTAGTTGGCGGCCTAGGAACAGTCAGTATATGTGACGAAGAGTAATCCTGAAAACGAAACGCACGAGGATGATCTCAAAGAGCATCTCCTGGTCCACCTGCATGAACTTCTGATCCCACTCATCAATGTCGGTGGTCTTGCGACGGTTGTCATCATCATCACTAGCGCTGGGAGGATCATTCTTGTGGTGTTCGCACCACTCAATAACCTTCTTGAGGACGGCTTCGTTAACCTGGACAAAGAGGTGTAAGCGTCTAGTCATGGATTATATCTCGGGGTAGACACTCACATTGGGGATTGGGATAGCTTCACCAGAGTCGCCAAGATCCTCAAGCATGTTCTTGATCAAAACGGAGCGCTCAGCAGTGGTGCGCTCTGTTCAAATCTGTCAGTGCCACTCGCGACAGCATATTGCGTGAAACTTCACTCACCAACAGAGATGTCGACTCCATCAGAGCTGGTAAGGGTGATAGCACTCATGGTAATGGGTTTGAAGATGGAATCTAATTCTCAGTTGAGTTTAGCTTTCCTGGTCGCTTTCGAACAATGCGGGGTGGTTCAGTGGTGGGGGCATGACTGACGGGGAAGAAAAGTGTGTGTGGATGATATTGCAATTCAAAAACCAATTCTTCGGAGTTGGTATGTCGTGAATTTAGATGTGGAGGGTTGAAAGTAGATGTAGAGAGTTGAAAATTAATGACGAGGATGTAACGAGAGGGTGGTGAGGTTTAAGAGGTCCGGATTACCAAAGGCGGTCGCGGAGTAAGCCCTGCCAACAAGGCTCCAACCCAGCCCCCACGTCTTAGTTCTTACCGTTGCCTAAATTACACCAGTACAATTATTGTGTTTGACTCATTATTATTTGCATGGAAGAAGCTAGAAACCGACCAGAAATATACTAGTAGCTTAATAGTCCGAGAACTAAACGGTTGGGAACCTGGGATACTGCCTACAAGGCTCGACTCCATACTAAGCCAGAACAAACGACGGATCTATTCCAAGGGTACGGAGTACTCCGTATTTAGTTCTAATACCAGATAGCGAGTGAAATAAGAATCTAGATATGTTTAATTGCAACTAGGTCATTTTGGGTAAACTCCATAATGTTCGCAGAGTATTCTTTGTAAGATTCTCGATCTATCAACTGTGCATATGTGGTTCCTAAGGTTATAGAGTAGGCTGCGAGATCTATACGAGATCATTGATATACCAATCACATTGACAAAGATTTTAATCTATACATCTATAGAAATGTAGATGATTCTACTAAAATATTCTAGTAATACCATGATAAAGTGATCTATTGGATTGCTTGCATAATCTCCGCTTCAACTTTACCGCTTAACGCGAAGACAAGTGATATCATCGCCCCATACGCGTTTACTTTACATTTTCTCTTAACCCCTGCCACTCTTTTCTCCTTTCATTTTATTCTTTACTTTCATTCTTTAATTTCTTCTAATAATGTTCTTGGTTTTCAACCATGTGGCGTCGAACATATTTACTGTTATTGGTGATTCGCGTGTACTTTGCCCTGTCGCCAAGCTATCTACATCCCGATGAGAATTTCCAAGGCCCAGAGCTTTTCGCAGGTATGTTCAACTATCCAATGATCGCATGATAATCGCCATCACACTGCGACTATACAAACGCGTTGAAATCGTTGTTGCCATTTTCCCCAAAGAAAAAACAAAGGGCGCGATCCGGCAGTGCCGGATTCCCCTATACGAGGCGAAAAAAGTACCTATGTACATGTACTGACCAGATCATCCAAATACAGGTCGCATATTCGCATTCCCTTCGAAGCTACCATGGGAGTTTACCGTTGAACACCCCATACGTAGCATTTTCCCACTATGGGCGACCTACGAGCTTCCAATGAACCTCTTGAAATGGTTCTATACCGAGATCGGATCGGGTAACCCCCCACCCGACTTGGTTTACTATGCGCTGCGCGGTGGAATGTTCATATTGAGTTTTGTTCTGGAGGACTGGGCGATCTACGAGCTAGTGCCTTCCCCGCGTCATCGGCGTGCAATCGTGGTGCTGGTGGCCTCGTCGTATGTCACCTGGACATATCAGACGCACACATTCTCCAACAGCCTTGAGACCTTGTTGGTTGCTTGGGGGTTGGTTCTGATTCGGCGCATTGTCGAGAATAAGGTACGAGAGATAAAGCTTGGAAGTACAGAATTCACACTGACTTAAATCCCAGCGACACTCGTCCTTCTTCTCCCATGCCGTGCTCGCCTTTATCGCTGTGCTAGGCGTTTTCAACCGCATCACCTTCCCAGCGTTCCTTCTATTCCCCGGCTTGCAATTGCTGCCTCAGTTCCAACGGAAGTATGGCAATCTAAATACACTTTACTTTTACCTCATCAGCCAATACACATGTACTAACCCCGCATCCGCACCAGACCACTCTCCCTCGTAACATTCTTCCTCTGTGGCGTCTTCTTTTCTACCATCGCAGTCTACACAGATACGATATTCTACCGGCCAACACTCTCCTTCCTTAGTATCCTCCGCAATCCTATAATAACGCCTCTCAACAATCTCCTCTACAACACTGACACTTCCAACCTAGCCCAACACGGCCTTCACCCTCACCACCAACACTTCACTGCAAACCTCCTCCAACTTCTCGGCCCAGCATACGTTGCTATGCTAGTCTCCTTCTTCAGCTGGCCACTGATGCTGCCGTACTGGATGCGCAATGTGCGCGCCCTCTCCGCGCTCTCTGCAACAATGCTCCTCTCCTTTTTCCCACATCAAGAGCCGCGCTTCCTTCTCCCAGTTGTGCCCCTCCTTCTCAGCTGCTTCCCCCTGCGTCGCTCTCGTCTGTTACTCGTCGTATGGATCATATTCAATGCAGCCATGGGCTTCCTCATGGGTGTGTACCACCAAGGTGGCGTCGTCCCCACGCAGCTAGCAATGCGCGACATCGTCTCGTCCAGCACAACACGCCACATACCTTCCGCAACAGTCTTCTGGTGGAAGACATACTCACCACCGCTGTGGCTTCTCGGCGGGGATAACCAGTCTACAGAGATCGCGACATGGGATCTCATGGGGATGTCAGGTGTGGAGATGATGCTGCAATTGGAACAGGTTGTACCTAACTGCTCAATTCCGTCGTCTGTGTTCCTGGTCGCGCCTACATCGGCTGCTTTCCTGGACCCATATGCTGTGTCTGCGAGTCAGAGCCGGGACCAGAGCTTACAACTTCATCCACTTTGGTCGTATCGTAAGCACCTCAACCTCGATGACATGGACTTTGGCGAAGACGGGATCCTGCCGACTCTGAAACGGGTCATTGGGCGCCGTGGGCTGGGTGTTTGGTCTGTGCGAAGATCTTGCAAGTAAATCTTCCGCTTGTGCTTGATAGGGCGTTGCATATTCATCTTCGATATTTGGGAACTACTACATTCCCATTTGGATTTGGACTGAAATCTCTCTTTTTTTCCTTTGGATATTTTCGGTGCATGTTAGGGTTACTGGGTCCATAAGATACCTTTTGCATTGGGGATGGGCGTGAATCGATTTGGTATCTTCGGGCTTCTAGTCTACTTGTAGTTACCTCTACCTATGTACATGTGAGTAGTACTATGTTCAATATATTGACTTTTTCATCCTCGTTCGGGCTGGTCGGCTGGGTTCCAAGGTCAGGATATATGATTGAGGGGGAAATTACATATAAAAAGACCTTTCTTTCAATAACTGCCCGATAACTAGGGAACGATAATCTATAGACATCAGGTGAGGCACGATATGCTAATATATGAATACTATGTAGGTATATATATATATACATATTTATTGGTAGTTGAAGCGGTCCTCGCAGTCCTGAAGTCCCAAGTGGAGGATATACATGTAGACTTCTCCAATCATGTACATATATACATATGTACATTACAAGCAGTTGCAGGTCATCTGCATATCTGTCTACCTGCATATAAACGCGTGTGACCACCAATGAAAATCACACCATGACAGCTGACCGGATCGAAGACCGCCACCTATCCCACCTACAATATTACACAACTACTCATACTCTATATGCAGCGAACAGATCCCATTTTGCCCATTAATATAGATAGATAACAGGCGTGTCGGGGGATAGGGAACAGTGGGATGCAAAGAAGCCAAGTTCACACTCAGCAAGCAGAAACTCAGAGACGCCAAGCTGAGCACTGATTCGTATTCATGAGAAGGGATCCGGGGTGAGGAGAGATGGGAATCAATTCAAACAGCAGCATGCTTGGTATTCATCATAGAACATAACGTTAAGGGGTGGGAAAGTAGGGGGTTGGGAAGAAAAAGAAGTCGAGAGAGAACATTTAATTCTTTACTGGTCATCCTCATCCGGCTGGTCGAAGAGGAAGTTGGCGGCGAGATCCTCGTTCTTGTCGCAGGCAAAGTAGGCCTGGATGACGGAGTCGCGGGGGAAACCCAGACTGCACAACTGGTTGTGGGTTAGTTATAAAAAAATCTTGGGATGGAAGGGACGTTTCAACATACACGCTCGATGGCATCGCGCTCTTCCTCTGTAACCGAAATGGCCTGCGCGCCGGGTGGCAGAGCACCTTCCTCGTCTTCAAGTTCCTCGCCCAGAAGCTGCAGGAATTGATCGGAGTTCTGCCCGATGATTGACGCAATCTGAGGATTCCCAGCGGCAACCTGTTGCAGGATTGGCTCGAGCATATGGGGCTGCTGTTGAACAAGCTGACGAAGCTGTTGGAAATGGGGGTTGCTGCGGAGGAACTCCAGGCTGCCAAGAGCTTCGCCACCAGCAGCACCGGCACCAGCGCCGGCACCAGCAGCACCACGAGACCGGCCACCACCTTCACCACCGGCTTGAGCAGCAGCTTCGAAGAGGTTGAGGTGCGGCTCATCCCCACCGGAAGGAGCAGCGGGAGCGGCAGGAGCAGCACCGGTAGGGGCTGGCTCTGAGCCTTGTCGCTGTTGTTGTTGTTGCTGTTCCTGGATGTTATCGGGGATACCCTGTCGTGAGCATTAGTAAATATTCAAGTTGTAACTTTACAACTTCCAACGAAAACTTACAGTCAAAAGGTATTCGATGGCACGGTCAGGGTTGTAGAATGCAGCGCGCATGGCACGGTCAATATCGGTGCGAGCGAATCCCATTGCCTCCATCTGGACAACTGCTCCCTCAGCGGCAGAGCCCATGGTAAGAGCGGAAGGATCCCCGAAGGCGGGACCGCTCGCTGGAGCCGGAGCCGCACCGGCCGGGGAGGGAGTCGCGGGGACGGCAGAAGGGGGAGGTGCAGTGGCAGCATGAGGAGCTTGAGGCGCAGCGGGTGTTGACACAGGTGCTCGAGCAGCCGGGGTCGAGGGGACTTGGGAGGAGGCGGTAGAAGCGGCGGGCTTGGGTTGCTGAGCATCAATCCGTTAGTTTTGGCTCGGTTATCACGGAAAACATGGAAATTTTCTATCCTATACCTTTGAAGGCAAGCAAACTAGGAAGTCCTTCTCTTGAATGTTATAAGATTCGACTGTCTTATCATCCTGAAGGATCTTTCCTACAAAGAGGGAAAAAAAAGCGAGGGTTAGCCGTGGCACCATGGATGGAGAGTTCATCTATCAAATGGGGAAATACAAACCAGAGTAAATGACCTTCATGCGCTCTGCATCATATTCGCTTTTCTCTTGGGCGATTTTGACCTTGACCTCGCGAACCTAAACAGGTGAGCCCCGCACTCGATGACGCTGGCTAGTTGTAGCGGAAGGGAACAAACATACAGTCTCAGAAGGTTCGACATCGATGACGAACTTCTCCTGCTTCAGGTCCTGTGATCGATGATTGTTAGCAGTCTGTGGTTGTGAGGACCTCATAGGGTAAGTTTTCATACCTTGAAAGTGAGCTTCATTTTGCCGCTTTTGAGTAAAACCAGAGAGAAAAGGGGCAAAAGGGGCAGGGAGAAAATATGACGAATTGAGATAGAAGAAAGGGAGAGTAAGTTGATGCAAAGGATCCTCTCAGCGATGAAGTCGAAAAAAAGTCGAAGAGGAAGAAAAGAATGTAGGAGGGGAGCATTCAGAGTGACGATGATCGATAGCAAACGAGTACGGTGACCGCCTTCGGATTTACCTCCACTACTTCTAACAGTTGACGACACAACTTCAGGTAACTTTTCCAATTTTTCAAAGTGTATTTTGATTCTACCAGGCTATTATTGTTATTATTGTGCGTAGCGCCCCTCTCTATTCGGTGCACATGTGCACATATATTAATCTAGGTCTATCAGCCCCATTTGATTCCGACCTGGTCGCCTGTTGGCGCCTCGATGACAAGACAACATCCCCGATAGACATAGAGAGTCAAAAGGTTGAAAATGCAGATCTATATCCAACTTAGCCCCAATGATATTGGTAGCCTTTCTGGGACGAATTATCGGGACCTTGGACTCCTATATAACACATTGAGCGCCACTATTGCCTCTCAGGTAAGTAGCACGGACGTTGTACATTGCAAATATTACCCACACAGGAAAAGATACATATGAGAAATCCACAAAGTCATACGATATATTAATTCAATTTAATAACAAGAATAATCTGCCATTCATACGGCCTTTGTCCTTGACGATGTACAGAATAGGTATTTGGCCCAAGATGATATTTGAGACATTATATGTAAGAACACTCCGATGTGTTTTTAGATATTCTTTTGGACGTTTTTTTTTAGATGTATAGCCTTTAACCTTTGATTACTTGTCCCATAATCCTTCCAAGGTTCCCGTGAAAGATATTGACCGAATCCCAGGTGGTCTAGGCAATCCAACCTGTTCCTGTAGGACAGGTCATGATATCCCGTGCCTTTGAGACTCTATGGATCTATAAAATCAAAGTACGGAGTACAAAGTACCATTTTGAATTTGTGTAAACTTATCACACTATACTTAGTTCGGTCTGGTCCAGCCGGCATCCAGCGCGGAGATTTTCCCTCGCAAGGGAGAGAGAGATAGATACATCACATCCGGTCCGTACTATTGAGATCGAAAGAGGATCCGCCACCTTAACTGATGTTATCCACAATGATGGATCAGATAAATAGTGCCATTGTTGATGATATTTACCAAATTATCGGATTCCCACTCCGCAAGACGGGCCTAGGCTGGCAGGACCCTACCCCAGAATTGGGCGTTATTGCGGCTGGAATTACGACAATTGCCAATATCCACACACATTATGCATCTCCAGCGGGATCTCTCAGCCTCAGCCAATTGATATGATCCTTGCTAAGCCAATTCTTATATTCAGTCTCTAACCATTATGCTGGAATGATGGATCAGACTGATGGGGAAAATTCGACAGGTTGAGACCGGATAGCTTCCCCGAGATACTCTAAGCCGACGCTGAGATACCCCGACCCATGTTGCCAGCCTTCAGGGCTCTTTTGTGTCTAAGCCCAACTCATAAATACCCACGTCTTCCCTCTCTTAGAGTCTGCAGATTCTTTACACTCATTGTGCGCATTTGGTAACTGTCTTGGATTGGCTATCTGCCAACATTTGACATACCCACACACTCTCTTGTTCTATTTTGGTATACTCTCAAGTCATTCTTTTTCCAAATCATTTTTTTCCCAAGTCATACTTTCTTTCATTGTCATGTCTTCCTTATCTTACTCACTAGTCACAGCCTCCTTGGCCGTAACATCCATTGCCACCGTTCTGAATGGCATCTGCTATGCAACCTCGAAAGCCTCACCTGATGTGGTCTCTATTATCCTAAGTGCATTGACATGTGTGGCTTTGATCTTCCTCGGTCTGTTGCATCACCAAAATATCCAAACCGGCCGCCGACAATCAATCTACTTCGTTGGCGGGTATCTACTCATTGCCGCTGCAGCATCCGCCGGAGCAATGGCAATGAGTCCTCAAGAATCGGTCTTTGTGGTTCGCTCGGTGGCCTGGGTACTGTCAGTGTTCACACAAGGCTTGTACTGCGGATTCCTCGCCATGACACTAGCCCAGGAGAAATCCAATCCTGAATGGCCGCGTGCCTACTCCCGAGGGCTCAAGGATATCCCACACACCCCAAATTATCTCATGTCACCCTCTCGAGTATCCGACTTGTCCGATCTATTCGAGCCCAAAAGAGGTTCACTCCGCAAATTCCCTCGACGGCCTAGCCGCTACTCAGAAACCACACTCTGTCCTTCGAGCATAAAGGAAGAAAAGAGCATCTCTATCGACATGAGCTCCTCGACTTATAGCTCACCAAGCTCATCCCCAACACGGGATACAATGCTAGACAGCTTTCCAGACCGGGACACTCGTCCCCTCCTCCGTAGCATGACCGGCCGACGCCGCAACGCACCAACCGCACTTTCCTTGGATAGTCTAGCACACTCATCAATACCTTCCCCAACAACGACAATCTGTGTCGAATCCCCAACGTGGGAATACAACCCAAACCCATTCAGCGAGGACAATATCCACCCTCTCTTCCGGACAACCAGTCCCTGCCCGTCCCCAACCTTCGTTCCGACAATGGTCCGAGCCTCGTCGAGCGCGGGACAGACTACCACGGAAATTACAACGCGCATGCAATCCGCCCGCTCCCTCCGCAACCAGGCCATACGTACGTCCTCACCGTTGCCTAGGTCGGAGACGGAGGAGAAATTCCGCCCTCGGGCGACGTCGACGCGAAGCAGCTTTGCGCATTCTCCTTCCGAGAAGATATATGACTTGAACGAATCCCCTTATGAATAGCGATCTACTTTGGTACATCGTGATCTGCATGACTTGCAATGTCTTCTTTTTTTTTGTTTTGGCCTTTTGCTTCTCCTTCTTTATTATTATTATTATTATTTTTTTTTTGTATATGATGGGTGGGTCTTTGAACATATATTTGACTACATACGGAATAGGGGTGATATAATTTGGTATGAAATTGTGCATATACCGTGGTGAGAGTATATATTATATATGTATATATATATTAGAGTTGAGTACAGAATGACAAAGTGGCTTTACTATTATTTTCTAGTTATATCTTTGTACAGCATACTTCGTAACAACTATGTATATTCCTGAAATTGTTCAGAATTGTTGGCCAATAGCATTGAGAGTCTACAAAGTCCGCATGCGTTGTTGTCACTCCTAGACTAAGTGGGTCCGTATATATTTTTTTTTTCTGTAGAGGATAGTATAGAGTAGAATATATGAACTAATAGAACATGATAGGGAATATTATGTCGAATGTGAGTATATTCAGGAGAATAAAGAAAAGACAATGTCAGCATACTAGACACGTAGGCTAATTCTCCAAGTAGGCCGAATCCCAAATACTCCGGTACTTGTGTGCCGGAAGTGGCTGGGGATCGGAGATACATCTATACAATGATAGGTAAATACTCTATTGTTCTCAGGCAGAAGCTATTCAATAGTATGAAAAATCAAGATTCTATTCAAATTTGACTGTATAATGTGTATTGAATGTGCTATATTGTGGCTTTTATTCCCGAGCCTCAGCCGAGTGCGGAAAAGTCACCGATTTCAATAGACCAAGTAGATCAAAATGGAATCAAGAACAATGTCGAATAGTAATCTAGATTTGAATTGAGAATATGAAATTATTATGATACTGTTTGTTATATATCTATTCAATGGGAAAAGAATCCAAAGGTTCAACTTCTCATAATCACCTTGTTTTGACCGTTTCCCTTTCTTTTCTACTCGACTCTCTTTTTTTTCTCTTCTCATCTTCACTCCTACTTTTCAACTTTCTAACATTTCTGTTTTCAACATTCTTACTTTTCATATTCTCGTATTCCTTTCACTTTCTACTGTTCTGTTTCTACATATTCTCTCTTCTTTCCCGTTTTCTTTCGACTTGACCCCGTTTCCCCCATCTACCCGGTCAAATCCTGCAGTAGATCTCTGCTTTTTTCCCTTTTACTTCGCATCTTTTCCCCCGTATCCATCGCTTTGGTAAGTTATTTCATGAATGAGGCGTTTCTCTCTCTCTCCCCCTTGCAATTCCCCCCCCCCCCACACTTTTTTTTATTTCATTGTCCCTTATCTTGTTTAAACCCTGTCTCTCTCTCCCCTTGATCTTGGCCCTGGAGCTTCTTTGGAGCTTTTGAACCTTTCTGAACAATCTTGATCTTTTGCTCTTTTCCTCTTTGATCGCGTGTGTCTATTTATCTCTACTTCGCGCTTTTCTTGCCAAGCCTTTTTTTCCACTACCAACAGTGACGTTTCCTTTCTGGATTCTGCATTTGGCCAACCTCGCGTGTACTTTTTTTCTTTTTTTCTACTACCATTTACCCCCTTTGAAGCCACTGTACTTGTTCTTGCACTCGATTCCATGTATTTGATTGTTCACTTTTCTCTTGATTATCCATCCCTTGCTGCTTCAATTTTCCCCGTTCAAAACTAATTTTCCTCAAGACAATAGCGATGGTGGGAAGAAGGAAAAATCGCGCGGCTGCGCAGCCTGCTGTCCGGACTCCTAGTATTTCTACGCGATCTGGACGCACAGCACAAGGTAAGTTTATACAGGTTTGCGCCATCGATCCGATCTCTGACCTCATGTATAGATACCAATACTATTGCAATTCCCACTACTCGTGGAAGAGGTCGAGGCCGAGGACGTGGTCGCGGCCGTGGCCGCACCAGTCTTCCTGGTCGTCTTCCTTCTGAATCACCGAGACCAGAAGTTCTCTCGCGCATCATCAAATTCAAAATCCCCAAACTAAAACTAATTCAACATGCTGAGTCTGATGCTCCCCATGAGGGTCCCCATGACGGGGAAAATGAAAGTGCATCCGCTAGTGCTGTCTCACAAAACCCAGAGACCCCTCGCACTCGGCGTCCTCGGCACCCTCGGACTGTTCCTGAGTCTTCGCGGACCACCCGGCAGTCAGCAAGACTGAAGCCGGATGGAGATGGCGTCTACGAAGAGGATGTCTCACCAACTAAGGTCGTTGAGAGTCAAATCACCGAGCCAGATGATGACATGGACTCTCACCACTATGATGAGGAATTCAAATCCGAACCTCCATTTCAAAAAATATCTCAATCCCCTGAACCTCGCACAGTTGCTTCAGCCCCGGTGTCGCCTGGAGCTATTCAAACCAAGCCTGCTGACGCAAAGGCGGAGGACACCCCTGTTGGTCAAAGTCCCATTATTTCCCAAATCGAAGAAGCGCCGCTCGGTGCGGTGTCTTCACCTCGACTTGCGCGCAAGCGGAAGTCACTCGAAATGCAAAACGAAACCCCGGATATTGATTCCGAGGATCCTATGAACAAAAAGCTGCGAATTGATGAGACTGAACCAGAAGAGACCCCAGAGAGCCACTTACAAAATGGCACAGAGCTTGATACTCAAAATGAAACATCTCCCGAAGACATCCCTATTCCTTCGGAGGAATTTGACCCCCCCGCTTACAACTCTGCTGTTCGTGGAAGCCGTGGAGGTCGAGGAGCACGTGGCGGCCGGGGTCGGGGACGTGGCCGGGGTCGTGGTCGTGGCGGTCGCGGTGGATTCGTCGGCCCGATTCGACCTACAGCAGTTACCAAGTCTCGAGGTAGTCGAGGACGTGGCCGTGCCAAGGCCGCTATTATCAAACGCGGGAAGAAAATCGAAGACGAGATCTGGGACGTCACCGAAAATTGGCGTGGTCCCACTCCATCGCCTACTCCAGAATCAATGCCGACAAAAACTCGCCAGGAGGAAATGTCTGCACTCTTCAAGAAGGTTGGCCAGGCGCAGCATGTCGCGCTGAGTTTCATGGCCGAGCAGACCATGAACAGGCTTGCTCGCGAGAAAAATGTGCACAAAGAATGTCCTGAATTCGATCAAGTCCAGCGGGATCTGGATGAGTACGAACGCAAGGCAATTGAGAAATTGAATGTCGAGTACAAGATGAACACTGAGTTGAAAACTCGGACGTACAAGGGCAACGTTCACATTTTAAAAGACAGTTCAAGGGTAAGTTTGGACCCAAATTGTCTTATCACTGAAGGATTCTAACTTGTGGAAACAGGCGCTCATTGAGGAAGTTCAAGACGAGATGCTTACGATGCTTATGGGCAAGATGATGGCCCTGATCCAGGGCCGCAGGGTGGCTGAGGACGATGAACACACCGAGGTAAGCACTCTGAAGTCTTCCCAAAATCGAATGTGCAGCTAATTAGTCCCTAGTATGACACATCCGATTCAGAAGAATCCATTAAGCAATTCCTTTTCCGAGACGGCGAGACGGCGGTAAGACAGGTAGAGCGTGGCTTTGCAGCGGAAGCCGTTCGAGATCCGGAGGGGGCAGTTGACTTTGTGGCAGCGCAGGAGGGATGGGAGGAATTTGTTCAGAGAGTACGGATGGGCCGCTTGAACGAGGAGATTGCACCAGCAGAAATCACCGACGAAGATGCCCTACGAAGATGCGCCAAGGATGCTTTCGATAGCATGCTTCATGCAGCCATTTACATCAACGAGCAAGAGGCGACTGGCAAGATCGTCAGCTACGATGGCACCGCTGATTTCCCAGTGCACCCACGGGCACTCTCCATTCTGGCAGACGCAGCTCTGACCGAGCCCCTGCCCCAGCATCTCCCAATGATGCGAACCGACCCCAACACCCACCACCGTGCTCTCCTCCCCCAGCCCACCCACGCCCACCCACCCTCCTCCCTCCATGGCCACGGGCCAACAGACCCACGGTCCTTCATCCTCCCACGGCCCACCCCAACCCAGCAGCCGCGGCGCCTTCTCCCCGCCCGCCAGCAGCTGGGGATGGGGCTGGGCCTGCCAGACCCGTTCGCAATGAACGGGCCGCCGCAGCTACCCCCTCCCCCGGGCTCGAACTTCGCGCGTTTGCCCCTACCGGGCTACATGCCCCAGGGCCACGCGCCCTCCCTGTACTTCCCGCCACCGCCGCCGCCGCCCGGATCACACCCCCAGCCCCCGCCGCGCGGGTATTAGACCCGCCGGCTTGTACCAAGATGTTTGTGTAGCGTTCCCCGCAGTTGATACCAATTCTTTTTTGTATGTTTAGTTGCGATGCTCTCCCCCCTGAGTGGGGATAAGAGGGGAGGGCATTAGTATGAATAGATTTTTCTCGTTTGAATTGACTTCTTAGTGTAAGATGGAGTTGTAAGTGATGAGACATGTGAATACCAAATAAATCAGATCCAAATTGAAACTCAAAGTCAGTAGCAAGTGAGAGATGTTCGAACTAATAGTTATGCGAGGGAAGTACTAATAAGGGGAGATACCAGAACTAATCCTTAATCTTTGTTGTCAAATTCGCCGTGAGTAGATGGGCTACTTGTTAATAGGCTAGGGAAATAGCTAGCTGTACAGCCGTAGACGACACAACTACTCTGACAGCGTACCTGGCCTCAGTTCCTTAAAACATCCCACAAATGCCCGGGCTCAAAGCATGAAACTTGTTCGACTTGATTGATCCTCATCGGATGTTTCCTTCTACAGACTGCCTTTTAAATGCCTCCAGAGTACATAACTCGGCATACTCGTCATCTTCTACCACTCTGCAGCCCTGTATACATACCATCCAACCGACCGCTGAGGATTGGTCATGCTCAAGATTACAGTGGAATATTTGTCTGAAGGAGGAAGACCGCTCATGTTACCATTACAACCCACAACTGCATTGCCCAGGCCTTTGACCAGATACATTTGGTGATCTATTCCCGATGACTAGCGCCAGCATTCTATGCTGCACTTATGTAGGGGTGGTTGGAACATCATTTCAAAAGAGTATCAGTATTGGTTTCTATATTTTGTCATACTCAGGCTGTTCAAGTTCGTCCATTCCCGCGCTTCGATTCCATTTTCTCTCTGGTATACACCTATACCAAGCACCCTTGTTCCTCTGACATTGAAGGTCACCGACAGGAGCTGCTTTCCTGTCTCTCTTGGACCAAGTTCTTTTGCGGAACAACACTGGATTCTGGGCTGTTTCTTCTGGTATTATTGATGATGATAATCCCGTACTTGTCTGCTAGTCTCGAGAAATTTTGTAGTTTCTTCAGTATCGAACTTGATGCGCTAGAGGTATAGTCATCTGAAGAGTGCCTCGAGACTCCGCGCACGGAGACAACATTTTTCGTTTCTTCACGTTCTGCTGTCTTTTCTTTGGGTTCTCTGGAATTACCTGCAAACTTTGCTGCAAAAACAGGTGACTCTGCGCAGAGGAGTTCTTTAGAAATTGTGTAGTATTTGGGGCTAATATATATTACCTTATTCACGCAGTTTTGAAAGTCCTCTGCAAAGACCTCAGCACTTGTTTCAGATGTCTTACTCATTTCCACTTTGATAGATTGGCTGCTCGAAGAGACCATTCGCAAGTTCCGAAGGAGCCACTGGTATTTCCATTTTGATGACCTGCCGAATTCGTTCGCAATGAATAAACTGCCACAGCTTTTCCTGCATTGTATCAATGTCTTGCAACGTACATATGTAGTTTCAATACACGAATAATTCCAGTTGATGTGCGTTTCCAACCTTATCAATGATCATGTAAGCTCCTGAGGTGCGACATGCATCTTTCTATTGGGACAATCCCCCAGTCCTTCGTAGTACCTGGTACATACTTAATATGTCCGAAGGCGTTGAGCTGGGTGTCATCACTCTAGGAGACCATCATAGGGAATAGCATCTGTTTGATTACATTCTGGATTGTGGTAAAGGCCACTTTCCAGTAAGATTAATGTAAATAAATTCATATATAAGGTGATGTGTTGTGAAGAAAGAGAAGATATTTGAAGTTTGAAGTATCATAAGAAAGGGAAGTGCTGGGGATGCTGAAGAAGGAAGGTATGAAGGAACAGAGTATTTATACCCTGCTTTCTAGCAAGCAAAGGGTCGGCCTGCTAACAAACAACCCATGGGAGATGGGATCATCCAACAGGTAGTATAAAGAAACGAACATGTATGGATTATGAGTAGGATGACTAGAGTTGACATGCAGTAGCATCAGCCATGTTCTAGCCAAGGCTATGTTATCTGTGGCTGAGCATGACTGCGACTAGTCAATAAATATAGAGATATAATATAGAAATAAAGTAGACTAAATGAAGTAGAATATGAATCATTGTCAGCATGAGACAGAATGAGTCAGTAGAAATGAGGTAGCAGTACATAATCTTCCATACTGCTTACCATAATCAAGTAAGTACTAGTACATTCTATCAACCCACCAACTCGCCTCTGCGGCTCCGGCGGGGCAAACTCAGGCGACGCTCTGATTGGTCCGAGCTTTTGATCTTTTTTCAGTTGGATCGCACGTCTCTGCCAATAATTTATTTATCTTCTCGGCTTCATTCTGCAAATCCTAGATTTGATTCTTGATTTCTTAATTCAACTTGAAGCAGTTTCTGTTTCTGTTACTCTTGCATCTACTAGCTCCGCGCTTTTCGCTACCCCGCTCCACACCGCACACTTTTTTCAACTCTGCTCTCTGCACATTTTCCTGATACTCTAAGCATTATGGCTGTTCGCGCGCAATTCGAGAACTCAAACGAGTAAGATACTACAAGCCGAGAGCGTTTAAGAGCGTTTGGGACTCTAGCTGACAGTTTCTGTTTAGGGTCGGCGTTTTCTCTTGCCTGACAAATGCCTACGCTATCGTTGCGGTTGGTGGTTCGGAGAACTTCTACAGGTGTGTTATTCAGAAACGGGTGGGATTGGGCCTTGAGGCTGGAACTGGCATCGATAGGAATGGTGGGTGTCAAGGCGTCCTATCGCCAATGCCGTGCCATTTCAAATCTCAATCTCTACCTCTACCCCAATACACCTGTGAACAACCCTAACTAACACCCAAATCCAGTGTCTTCGAATCTGAACTCCAAGATGTCATCCCCATCTGCCACGCAACCATCGCTGGAACTCGCATTATCGGCCGTCTAATCGTCGGGTGAGTCGGACATATCCATTCTAAAATGAACAGCCTTTTCCACCAGGAGGGGAAACATTTGTCAAAAAAATCAAATGCTAATACTTCGCTCTCAGTAACCGCAAAGGTCTACTTGTCCCCACAACCACCACAGATCAAGAATTGCAACATCTGCGTAACACGCTTCCGTCCGAAGTCAAAATTCAACGCATAGAAGAGCGCCTCTCCGCGCTTGGCAATGTTATTTGCTGCAACGATCACGTTGCAATCGTGCACCCTGATCTGGAGCGTGAAACCGAGGAGATGTAAGTACCAACCCAGCGTTTCCAACGCCGGAAACCCCAACCTCACCATTCCATTCCAAACTTTCTTCATTGTTTTTTTTTTCTCTTCCAAAACTGACATATCTCCTTTTCTCCAGCATCGCCGATGTCCTCGGCGTAGAAGTCTTCCGCCAAACAGTTGCCGACAACGTCCTCACAGGCTCGTACATGGCTCTCTCCAACCAGGGTGGAATCGTGCACCCCAAGACCTCAATCCGTGACCAGGACGAGCTGTCCTCCCTCCTGCAAGTTCCCCTCGTGGCAGGCAGTGTGAACCGCGGTTCCCCCGTCGTCGGCGCCGGCATGGTCGTCAACGACTGGCTCGCTATCACCGGTCTCGACACCACAGCCACCGAGCTGAGCGTTGTCGAGTCTGTGTTCAGACTTGGCGAGATGGCTCCCGGTGGTGCCGGTGGTGCCGGTGTTAATAAGGATAGTATTGTGGAGAGTTTCTACTAGATTTGTTGTCTTTTAGATTGCACTCTGGTCAGCTCTTTACGGTACATGGTCCTGTTCTTATTTTCACGCTGGAATGATTTTTTGATTCAAAGTACTGGTATTCCTTTTATTTTTTTGGCCTGTTCGGCTCCGTGTTCTCTGCTCTGTTCGCTCTGATGGGTCTTTCTTTGGGAGTCTGTAATGCTTCTGCTTGCATATACTCGAATGAATTATGCATGATGGATGGAATGTGTAGTATCAAAGATTTTTTTTCCAAAGTTTAACCGAGATATAGATGTTGACATTTGACAATGTCGATCATCGAGATGGTCTTGTTCTTCTTATATATAGCTTTAGATATTCATCTGTATGCTATAGATCTCCTATAAAGATATGAAGATTACAGCCCAAGACAGGCTGAATTGATGCAAACTATGATAGTGGCACTTGGGCTCGGGGGTATTGTCGACAGCATAGAAAGCAAATAAAAAAAAAGATAAGAAAAATGTCACAAAAAGAACACGGTAGAAGCAAAAGTAATGCAGGTTGTCGAGACATCAGTTTCAATCCCTCCCTCCGTTGTCTCCTGATTCCCGCTTTTTTACTCGCTTTTGGGTATTGATGCACAAACACAAAATAAGACAAGAACCGCTGGAGTTGTCTACACCTGTCCCTCGATACTGATCCGAGGTTGCTCCGTTTGTGATTCATTCTCCGCTTCCATCTCCATATTGACGTCGACCCCAGCGCCGGAGTCGTCTTTCGGAGGGGGAAGGGTCATCTCCGGTGTTTTCCATGTTGGTGTCACCGTCGGCATCATCTTGAGGAAGATCTGCTGGAGGGGGCGGAGGAGGAGGCGGTGGGGGTGTGGATTTCTGACGTTTGGAGGGAGAGCTGGCTCCGTCTTGAGCACCGTCAACATTCAAGATTCCGTTCCGCTTGCGTTTGAGGGAGGCGGCGTCGTCGTCGTCTTCTAGGGGAGAACTCGTAGGTGCACCTGCAACGGCTTCATCGTCGCCTGTGCTATGAACCTCATTTCCGGTGTTCGGGGTGGCGTCCTGCGACTTCTCGCTCTCGAGCTTCTCGCGATCCACGTATTTGGCTGCGGCTTTACGGAAGAAAGTCTTGCAGTAATTTTTGATCGTTTGCTGGTGTTTCGTGGAGATCTTCGCGGTGGGATCCTTGACGCGATTATTCTTGTAATCGCTTTCAACAAGCTTCTTTGCAGTCTATTAATGGAGAATGTCAGCATAATTACAATTTCATCAGAAAGAGAATCGAAAGTGAGGGTCTGTTATCTTACC